ATGACCAAGTAGGCTTCGTCCCTGGGTTGCAGGGAAAAATCTATCTACATGATCCACCACATAAACAAACTATAAAAGAAAAACCACATGATCATCTCCCTAGATGCTGAAAAAGTCTTTGGCAAAATTCAACACCCTTTCATGATAAAGGTCTTGGAGAGATCAGGGATAACAGAAACATACCTAAACATAATAAAAGCAATATACAGTAAACCAGCAACCAACATCAAACTGAATGGAGAGACGCTTAAGGCGATTCCTCTAAACTCAGGAACAAGATAAGGCTGCCCTCTTTCTGCATATCTCTTCAATATTGTACTTGAAGTTCTAGCTAATGCTATAAGACAACAAAAGGAGATCAAGGGGATACACATTGGAAAGGAAGAAATCAAACTGTCTCTATTTGTAGATGATATGATAGTTTACATAAGCAACCCCCCCCCAAAAAAAACCTCTATTAGGGAACTCCTACAGCTGATAAACACCTTCAGCAAACTAGCAGGATACAAGATAAACTCAAAACAATCAGTAGCCCTACTATATACAGATGACAAAGGGGCTGAGAAAGAAATCAGAGAAACATCACCCATTACAATAGCCACAAAAAAGATATCTTAAGTATCTTGGCGTAATGCTTACCAAACAAGTGAAAGACCTATATAATAAGAACTTTGTGGCTTTAAAGAAAGATATTAAAGAAGATACCAGAAAATAGAAAGATCTCCCATGCTTTTGGATAGGTAGGATAAGCATAGTAAAATAATGGCAATCTTGCCAAAAGCAATCTACAGATTCAATGCAATCCCCATTAAAATCCTAGTACATTTCTTCACTGACCTTGAAAGGATAATAATCAACTTTATATGGAAAAACAAAAGAACCAGGATAGCCAAAACAACCCTGTACAATAGAGGAACTCCAGGAGGCATCCCCATCCCTGACTTTAAGCTCTACCACAGAGCTATAGTCCTGAAAACTGCCTGGTATTGGCACAAAAATAGACAAGTTGACTGATGCAAGTTGACCGATAGAATCGAATCGAAAACTCTGATGTTAACCCACACACCTACGAACACCTGATTTTTGACAAAACAGGTAAAAGTATAAATTTGGGGGGGGGGAGACATCTTCAACAAATGGAGCTGGCACAATTGGATGATGGTGTGTAGAAGACTGCAGATAAACCCATGTCTGTCACCATGCACAAAACTCAAGTCCAAATGGATCAAAGACCTCAACATAAATCCAGCCACATTGAACCTTTTAGAATAGAAAGTGGGAAGTACCCTTGAACAAATTGTTATAGGAGACTGCTTCCTGAACATAACTCCAGGAGCACAGACATTGAGATCGACAATTAATAAATGGGACCGCCTCAAACTTAGAAGCTTCTCTAAGGCAAAGGACATGGTTAACAAGACCAAATGGCAGACCATAGCTTGGGAAAAGATCTTCACCAATCCTACATCTGACAGAGGGCTGATCTCTAAAATATACAAAGAACTCAAGAAACTAGTCCCAGACATATTTTTAAAACATACTGTGCATCAAATGTTTCAGTAGGTTAGGCAGTGATTTCTCTTGCTTAGTCTAAATTAAAAAGTTGAAACTCTGTGATGGATTTCAAATGGCCTGTGCACTGTGTGACCACATCCATGTGGCCTCCTGAGTGATCAGGATTTGACAGTATAGACTGCCTCCCTTATTATTGCTTTTTCATTTGCTTGTGATTTTGCTGTGAAACATGATGTATTTCTCTTAAATGCTTACATTTTTTTTTTTGGAGAATAATTATGTGGAAAATAATAGTGGTGATTGGTTTAGTTGAGTACAAGTAACATTAATAGATAATGTAAATGTAATAGTTTTTGAAAATTATCACAAAACCATACATGATAACATGCCAATATGTAAATTATCTCAGAATTTTCTAAATAGGGCTTATGTTTTTCTTCTTACTTTCTTAACTAACAAAATAAAGGTCGTCCTGTATAATCACTCTCTTTCACTCTCCCTCTCCTCTCTCCCCCTTCTCTCTTGCTCTCTCTGTGGTATATGTGTGTATGTGGTGCATTTGCCTGTGTCTGCACGTCTGGAAACCAAAGGTCAACTTTAGGTATCTTTCTCTATTACTCTCCACTTTTTAACTTTTTAAAGATTTATTTATTTTTATTTTGTATGTATGACAGATTTGTTTGCATGTATGTCTATATGTGCATCACATAGGGTATCTCATGTATGTAGGTGCTAGAAGAGGGTGTTGGATCTGAAAATGGAGTTAAGGATGTTTGTCAGCCATTGTATGAGTGCTGAGAACTGAACATATATGCATTGTACATTGATCGTATCCACCCTTCACTCCCTTTAATTCCTCCTAGACTCTTCCCCCAATATGTCCTCATCTCAACTTTATTTCTCCGTGTGTTTGTGTGTGTGTGTGTGTGTGTGTGTGTGTGTATGTATGTATGTGTGTGTGTGCCACACTGAATCCATTAGTACTGCATAAGTACAATAGATATGACACCAGCCACTAAAGCATGGATAATTTACCAGTGCCTCACCCTGTTTTGATCAAAGAAAGAATATAAATTATCACCCAATAAACACAAACAGAGATGCCAATAGTATTGTTTACATCATCCTTTGGTGTTCCCTTCCTTTTTTAAAAGCAAGCAATCTCCTTAATAAAAGCAGAACAACCTAGCTTTCTGACTGGGAAGACACATCCATATTTTCAATATCTCTCTGCTGTTATTGTTTTATTGATGGATGCTGTAGCATGAAAGCAATTATAGCTATTGCCATGTTCACCAGCTAAGTGTTGGGTATTTTTAAATTATAACCAATCTGTACCTTTTATTATGTATATTAATGATCTAAAAGTAGATCCCATCTGCATGCAGTTATTTTATGAATGAGTTTCCCAGTTATGTTGGCACATATTTACAATTTCTAGTTGGAAGAAATCTCCAGGTATCTGAGCTTCTCCTTTTTCTCACTGGCAGAGCTTGGAGACACTTAGTTAAGGCCAAACCTCAGCGTAAGCCTCACTTGGCCAGGTGACAGACTACTTGCACAAAAACATCTGACTTCTATTTTATATCTGCAAATTGCCCACTTTCGGTCACGGCTTAGGTAACAAAGAGATACAAGGAGATATTCAAGACTGATGCTGAAGCTGAAGGTTGGAGGGATAACTAAGATGTTAAGAGCATTTATTGCTTTTGCAAAGGACTGGGTTTCAGTTCCCAGCATTCACTTAGTCATGAACAACCATTTGTCACTCTAATTCCAGGGGATCTGATTCCTTCTTTTGGCCTACAGGTCACTAGGGCCACACACGGTACATATACATCCAATCAAGCAAAACACGATACACATAAAATTTAAAAATGTAAATTTTAAATGTTTCTGACTTGACTTTTTTATTTCTTTGATTTATTTGTATTCAAATGTGTGATGTGTGCTTTCCTTTTTTTCTTCCAAAACTGTCTTTATTAGTTCCTTCTATTTATAAAAATCCAAATCCTTTGATAACTTTTAAAAAATATTTGATAAAACTAACATCTGCCATTAGATTTTCAGAGGAAACAGAATAACAAAGCAACCTCATTATTTGGACTGGGTCATATTCCCATTTATTGGAATGAAGTTTGTTGTCAAGGAGATTTAAAAACATAGTGTTTTGTGAAATAGACATCTGGTGCATGGGGCGTGACCCCAGAAAGTGGCAGCTGTTATCTTGTGTAGCTTTTCCTGTCATTAAAAACAAACCTTGTTCTAGTTTCACTGTGCTTTAAATATGGCTCTAGATGATAAATGTACCTTAGTTAAATCATTTTTTAAGTGTTTAAATACACATAAGTCTGAGTCACATTCAACAATATAATTAAATACTATTGAATATGAATGCATCTAATTCTGAATTCTGTTGGTTTTTCAAATAATATCTAATTTTACATTTTCTTTTTTAATATCTTAGTTATGGAAATATTGTGCACTGTATATTATATTGAATATGAAACACTTATTTTGGCAATGGGAAATCCTAAGAGGTTCAAAATGATCTTGATAACAAACATGAAATATCTCAACAGGGGCAGATGCTTTCCCAATGTTTAATTATCTTAGTTACTTTCTCATTACTATGATAAACACCCTGACAAATGTGACTTAAGGGAGGAAGGGTTTTGTTTTTTTTTTTTTTTTTTTTTCTTTTTTGGTTTATAGCTTCAGAAAGACATGGTGCATGATGGCATGGCAGATATGGCACTAGGCAAGGAAGGAATAGCCGTAGGAGCAAGAGGCTGCCTAGTCACATTGCATGGGACTGTAAACAGGAAGTGGGTGGGGCTACAAAGCCACAAGTCCTGCCTCCAGTGGCCCACTTCCTCCAGTGAGGTTCCATAACCTTCCCGAATAGCAGCATTAAGAGTAGAGCAAGTTTTCAAACACATCAAATGCAATCACATTTAAACCATAGGAATGGGGCGAATTTTCAATAATTGTATTTTGGAGGTCCAATCTATAATGTAATGAATTAAATGGAAATTTGCATTGATTTCTACAAATGTAAAAGTAATTCACTTTGAAAACAAGTATGTTATAGACATGAGAACTATAGGTAATAATTACATTTGAGAATGTTCAGTTTTCTGTGAGTAAAAAATTAATGACTCCATTATAACCTGATGAAAATTAACTGTTTCTCTGGTGATTGGAAGTTTGTTCACTTCCCTTTCTGCTTTCTGGAGTTGTATAAAAGCCAAATTAGGACTATGTTCTCCAAAGAGCTCTCTATATAAATCTAGTTCAATTTGGAGAATTTTAATTGGGTCAAGATTCCCATAATGTCTATTAGACATGCATGTGTATGTCCATGTTACCAATGTGGCTTAATCAACATTATTTCTGAGAATGGAAGGAAATGAAATATATGTTCTATGAGGGAGAAGTGCAAGACAATGGTTTGAAGTTGCTTTTAATTTTGTATCACACAGGCCCGGTGTTGCCCGTCATTCGCCTTGCTGGTGGAAATAGCGGGCATGAAGGTCGGGTGGAGCTGTACCACTCTGGCCAGTGGGGGACCATTTGTGATGACCAATGGGATGATGCAGACGCAGAAGTCATCTGCAGGCAGCTGGGTCTCAGGTTTGTTTTGTATTGCTTTTGTTTCATTTTCCTAATTTTTGATACTGTTACTTCCATACACCAAAGAGGGTGCTTGCTGTAAGTCTAAATTACACATTTCCTTAAACTAATAGGAAAGACCACTTTTTTTTTATTTCTTTAAATCTTTGTACTATTCTGTAGGTTCCCTGAGTTGTACATAGATACATATATTCTATAGGTCTAATCTGCTTGTGTCTGATTTAGGGATGTTACTACTTCCATTAGTAACCTTTACATTACTCTTAAGTAATGGCTGTCATTGTCTATTACAGTAATTATTGTTTTTTATAAGTCAGTGTATTTCACATTAATTGTCATCTTACTTTAAATCTAACTTGCCCAAAGATTACCTAAACTTAGATAATGTTCTAAATTACCTAAACAAAGATTTTCTAGAAGTTCACTTCCTTTTTTGTTATGTTTAAGAACAAAGGATGTTTATTCACACATAAAGGAAGTAATTCCCATATAGGAAATGGAATGAAGTGTGTAATGGGGACATCGGGATGAAAAACAACTTCCAATGTCCTTTCAGGCTTATGGTTATTCTGAAGTATTATGCTTTTTCTTTTTTTAACCATTAGTTAACAATACTAAAAGTTTACCAAGGATTATATGAGATCTTGTAAAGGTTAATATTTTACACTAGATTTAGTTATTCTACTTAGCACTTTGCCAGAGACCTCTGTGATGAGACTCTCTCAGGGCATTATATCATTTTCTTTAGTTAGCCAAATTCTTTGACGTTGAGGTAGGATCTGTAACCTTGGGCCAATTAGTCTAAGTTGTTACGCCTGTCCCACTTTGCAAAACTTTATATTTACATTGAAGGATTTAAAAATTTTATCCCCGAAAGCTTTAAAAATAAAAACATTGTCCAAAGTAGCCAAATTACCATTATCATAGTTAGCCTAATTTCTAACTATCATATTCAAGTGTTTGTAGTCACTCACACAGTGTTTTTGACACCTGGCTTGTCCACAAGCGCACTCAGTCCGAGGTAATCTAGTACAGCTGGCTCTGAAGTCTTTTCGAACAGTCTCTTCTGTTTTCGTAGCCTAGACTTTCTGAATGGACACACTAGAGACTGTCCCATTTTCTGAAGTAGTGTCACTTGGTTTGGTTCTTTTGTTCTTACAGGTTCTGAAAGTGGAAATCAATCACAAAGGCTTGATTGGCTCAGTGCTAGTGCTCTGCTTAGGACCCATCACAGATGATAGGTTACTTACTCTCTTGCTCTCCACCAGGAATCACAGAGTCAAAATGACTCTCTCTCTCTCTTTCAATCCCACAATGGCAAAGCTAAAATAGAACGTTAATGTGATATTTTCAGTTTCTCTGTGTAACTGGATCTAACCGCTGATTTGTAGTTCACGGGTGGGCAAGGAACAAGCATGAGAATTCCTAAGACAGTGATTTTGTCCTTAACCACCAGCAGTATTGTTGGCTAGTATTGCTTTCATTGGGTGGGTCAGTTAGGGCTAGTCAGTTCCTTTTAATAAAACTAACACATTGGGGAATGTCCAGATGGATTCTTTGTCTGATTGGTCTCAGTTTGAAGGCAAGTGTCATTGATGTTTCTAAGTGTTGCTATCACAGGTAGATTGGCATAGCATGAGCTCCTGCTAGCCTCTCAAAGCCTATAGTTCTACCTCTGAGTTGTTACAGGATAGCTCTTACTAACAGTTTTCTTGATCATAACATGTTTCTAATTGAAAGTGTTTAGTTATGCAGTAGCCATCCAAAATACATTGGCTGTCAGGGTCAATCTAATTTGGGAGCATTAGATTGAAAAGATATTGAACATTAAGAGTAAGCTGGGTATTTGGTGGTGAGATTATCAAACACAGTTCCTCTATCAAGAACTTCTATTTAGTTAGAGGTATCTCCAGATTCTGAATTTTCAAAACATCTAATGATATGGTTCTCAACCTTCCTAATGCTGTGACCCTTTAGTATATATAGTTCCTTATGTTGTGGAGACCCCCAACCATACAATTATTTTTGTTGCCAGTCATAACTGTAATTTTGCTACTGTGGTGAATTGTAGTGTAAATACCTAGTTTGCTGGATATCTGATATGTGATCCCTGTAGGAGTCACAACCCACAGGTTGAGAACTGTTGCCCTGATGTGCGTAATCTCTATTTACTGAGCTGTCAATTACTTGCTCAGGAAGTGCTAAGTGGTTTTCATCTTGCCTATGAAGAAATCTATGCCTTTACCCCAAATAGCATTTTAAACACTATGTCAATAGCATGTTGACTTTTTATTAATCAAAATTTTTAAATTTTGAGACTTTAATACATAAGTACATGTCTTTCGTCTTTTCCACACCTCCTCTTTGGTCACTCCAACTCTTGTTTCCCCAATCTCCCTCCAAGTCCATGACCTCTTTTTAAATTATTGTTGTCACATATATACCTTATATGCATATGCACATATGTATATACAAAACACAGCCTGCCAAGTCCATTTAGTGCGGCTCACATGTATACCTGTTTAGGGATGACCACTTGGGATTACGTAACTGGAGAAGACTGAGTCTTCTCTTCTCAACAGACATTTATTGCCTTTAGCTCTTTTTCCAGGGGTAGACCTCACTAAATTTCTCCTGTTCACAATGGAGTGCCAATGGATGTTATCATGCTGATCTCATTTGGGCAACATATTGTTGAGATTTCATGGGTATAGCTTCCCTATCTAGAAAATGTAATCTCAGAGCAGACAACCTGTTCCTCTGGTTCTTAAAATCTTTCTGCCCCGCCTCCTTCTGTGATGTTCCCTGAGCCTTAGGTATAGTTGTGCTGTAGGTGTATCAGTTGGATTTGGGTGCCACACAGGCAATTGTTCTTTACCTTCTTCTAGTTGTGGATTTCTGTAATTGTCTCCACCTACTATAAAGAGAAGCAGCCTTGACGAGAGGACAGAGCTACACTTCTCTGTGGGTAAAGATTCAGAATGTGGTTAGAAATTATACTGGTTTAGAAAAGTGGCAGGAACAGGTTTTCCTCTAGGGTTCATGACCTTATAAGTCAGTGGGTTTACATTACCAGATAGGTATTCTTTTTTTTTTTTTTCTTATTTTACATATTGATCCCAGTTCCCTCTCCCTCCCTCCCCCATACCTTCCAATTCCCCTCCCATCCCATCCCCCTACTCCACGGGGGAGGGGGGTGATAAGGCATTCTCTCTTAATGAGTGGGATAAGACCAATGAGATGGTTCTCAGTTACCCTCAAGAAATAAGGGGAGGAGAGGAAAGCACATGTGACTAGGAAGATTGAGTCAGGGTAGGAATAGAAGGCAGAAGAGAGAGAGAGAGAGAACATAAAAGAAGAGAAAACTGAACCTAAAGAAAGGTCTAGAGACCTACAAGACTGCTGCCAACTAACAATTTGAGCAACCGTGGAAAAGCTACCATAAATGCCCTTCCCGGATAGTGAGATCAACAACTAACTTATCCACCATCATGGAGCCCTCATCTAGTACCTGTTGGAAACAGAAGCAAACACCCATAACTAAACACTGAGTTGTAACGAGTACGGTTTTTCCCCGCCGCCACGCCAGCCCCAAATAATACACAGAGACTCTGTATTTGATATTATGCTGTTGGCCAGGTGCTAGTTTCTTATCGGCTAGCTCTGTCTTAATTATTAATCCATTTCTATGTATTTCCACGTGGTCTCCTTACCGGGGAGTGAGGCAGGCGTCTGGTCTCCCCGGTCTCTCCATGCTGACTCTCCCTACTACTTCCTCTTCCTCCTTGTCTCCTAGTCCCTCCTATCTTCCTTTCCTATTGGTCAACAGTGCTTTATTCATTAACCAGTATGAGAAACATATACAGAATGACTCCCATCACTGAGGCAAACTAGAATCCAGATGCAGAGGGAGAGGACAAGACCAGGCGACAGAAACACATAGAGACAGCTTACCTGAACAAGGAGGAGCTAACAGGCCCCCAGACTGATAGCTGGGAATCCAGCATGGGACTGACTCAGCCCCCACCCCCAAATATGGGTCTCAGCCAGAAGGCCGGGGCAGTCTAAGGGACCTCAGACAGTGGAACCAGGATGTATTCCTGGTGTACAAAAGAACCTTGTGGACACATCCCCAATGGAGGGATAACTGCCTTAACCTAGAGACAGGAGAGAAGTCCTAGTCCCTACTTCAAATGACTTGACAGATTTACATGACCCCATCTGGATGGCATTGCCCTACATGTGGAATCAGGGTGGGGAGATGAGGGGGTGGTCAGGGTGCATGTGAGGGGACAGAGAGGGCAAGAGGGAGGCAGGGAGGGAGAGGCAGCTGGGATCGACATGTAAAATAAAAAATAAATAGAAAGAAAGACAGAAATGAGTGCCACTATTGCATCATTTCAGATGTTTTGCCATGCTGGTCACTGCTGTTGTTTGCAACATTTCCATTTAGGTAAGACTAGTGATTGCTCTTCTCTCTTGTTAGCTTGCATAGCACCTGCAGGAAGGAGACTTCAAAGTCAGCTCCAGATTAGTTTTCCACATCCTCCATCAAAAGTGTATAGTATCTTCAGTAACAGGGTTTTACCTTCAAGTTCTAGGAGGCAACCAAAGGCAGTGGAAACACGCTATATTGTTTGGGGAATCTCTTGGACTTTCCTCTTGATTTTACTACTTGCAATAAGGATTACTCTAAATCACAAGGCAGCTTTTATTTTTCTATATATTTTTTGTGGAGAAAAGCAATGTTTTGTTACTTAGAAAAATGCACATAAGATTTAAATGACATAAGGAATATTAAGGTTACTTCAAGGTATCAAGTGATTATGAAATTCTATGTTTTAAGTATATCATTCTTTTGTGAAAGACAAAAGAAATAGTTCCTAAAAAGAGAATGTTGACAAGTCTAGTATTTGGGGAGGAGATAGAACCATACTCACTGGGAAGACTTTGCTAATGTCGAGCACACAGATTAAGTAAGGAGTGGTTCTTTCTTCAGTGTGAGCCCATTGCTTTCTTTCCTGACTGAAGACCAACTCCTGGCATTCAAGTGTCATGTCACTAAGTTCTATCCTCAGCTCTGTCATTCTCAGTTTTAAATTCTTTCTTTTGAGAGAGAACTAACTTACCCAGCCTGCTTTTGAACTCACTTTGTAATCCAGGTGGCTCTGGAACTTGTAATCCTTCTGCTTCAGTCTCCCACAAATCTGGGAGGAATTTTGGAGGCTTCGCTCAGTGGTTGGTTGGCCCTGTTTGCTCTGGGGCCTGTGAAGGGACAGAATATCATGTTAAAGCAAGTTCCTTACCTCAGGGCTGGGAAGTGAGGAGAAATAAGAGGGAAGAGCCCAATGAACCAGGGTTCTCTTGATGGCTTCCTTTAATGACCTGAGATGTCTCACTAGGTCCCATTGCTTCATGGTTTCACCATTAAAGGGTAACGACCCTGTGGCAAGACAAGGCAAGGCAAGGCAACAGAGTCCTTCTGGAAAGCCCCAAGCAATGAGCAACCCAGCTTCATGGAGCTTTACATGGTGTAGGCACCCTGGTGCACAGAGCTGAGTTGTCCACATGACTTTCTTTCAGTTGATTTTATAGTTTGCTCATTGTTTGTATTCAAGTGATACTTTGCAACGCCCATTCCTCTGTGTTTGCTCATTGAAAGGCTAGGTACCTTTGGGTGAAACTGTTTTCAATAGTCCACACTTGATAGTAGGCAGCTTAGTTGTTTCTTGCTTTATTTGTTTTTGTTCTCAGGGAAATTTCATCTCACCTTTGCTTGCTTTGTTGAATTCCACAAGGGAGACTGCATCACATGTTGCTATAGTGCTGGCTGCAATTTCCTTGTGAGATTCTGTCATTCTGACCTCATATTTGAATAGCATTTGTATATATTGGCAGCTGGGAAGCTTTCTAAATGCAAAAGGAATTATTGCTCTTACGATACTTAAAGTTGATTAGCTCAGTATGTGGGGATGATGAGGAGGAAAAAGGGAGACAGGCAGACGTTATCAAATTAGACAACCGGGGGTTTCTGTGTGCAGTAAAATTCAGGTGGAGCCACTCTAAGATCCTTTCTGTGAGCTTAGCACTAAAAGCATTTCCCCATGGCTTCTGGAACCTTTAAAAGCACAGATTAGCATGACGTCACATTTCATTGTGTTGAAGTTCTGTAATTTACACAGAAATTTAATTATTTAAATGCATCTGTCTGTTAGTTTTGTTTTCCTTAGAGAGGGCTATAGAATGATATTAAATGTTAGGATAAAATTGTTACAGTGTAAGTTGCTTTTTAAATTTTTCTTTACCTTTTTATTTCCTTGTCTATTAAAAAAAAAACTTTGACTATGTTACAATATTTACAATAAAAACTTCTAGATATATGGACTGGATCAGAGAGGAAGGTTTATTAATAGATGGGGAAGTTATGCCCGTGTGTAGCCATGTTCTTGGTTCCATCCTGTGAGTCAAAAATAGTCATGAGACTCATAACTTGATCCATAGAGGATTTTTTCACTATAGTCTGTTAGCAGAAAAAAACAAAAAACAAACGAATGAACAAACAAACAAACAAAAAACCAAAACATAGAGCTGAAAGAAACAGAGAACAAAGAAGGGAAAGAAGATGATAGGACAGTGTTTTGACTAGACTGTTAGACATGCCACCTGCCATCACCTGAAAGCATCCTAGGAGGCTGTAATGCACCTGAGGTTCAGGGCTTGCTGATTGCCTCCATTTCAATACCGTGGGGTGCCGGTAAAGCTATTTAACTTGTGAGACTCTCTTTGCTTGTCCATAAAGTTGCTATTCTAACATGATGAAGTTGTAGGGGAAGACTAAGTAAATTAATATGCACAATGCACTTAGACCAGTGTCGGGCAATTCTTAAGCAGTTGTTGTACATTACAAGTCACAGGTGATAGAGGGAACTGGCAACTTGTAGATCATTAAAAATGAGTTTCTGTAGCCATACGTCACAAGTGTTACAAGCTGGTATGTGTAGTCAAAGAACAAGACCTTTATAACCTACCTCCCTTGTATGCTTCAGATAGTGGCCACATTTGAGTCGTGAGTTAATCATGTGTTGGCGTGTGTTTGGCCATTTCTGTAACAGGTCCATGCCCTTTGATTAGTGATGAGGGTCAGGCACAGAATGAAGCCATTGAATATTTATTAGGAATGTCTGTCACTAGGTCAAAAGGCTTCACCAACAAAACAAGCCAGTGCTATCAGCGTTTCCTATAAGCTTTCTCTGTAGTCAGGGCATGAAAGGAATGAATACTTGGAGCTTCAGCAAGAAACTGGCAGGGTGGTGTAGAAATAATTTCCATATGGGAAGGACAGGGCTTAAGCAGCTTACTCAATTCACATGGGAAGGACAGGCACACATGGCTTACTCAATTAACATAGACAGGAAGGACAGGGCACACATGGCTTACTCAATTCACATAGACAGGAAGGACAGGGCACACACAGCTTACTCAATTCACACAGACAGGAAGAAGAATCATACACAGGAAGCAGAGAGAAAGAACAGGAAGTGGGGCCAAGCTACACATGTTGAGGTGGTACTATACTTCCTCCAGTGAGGGTCCACCTCTTAAAGGTTCCATAACTTCCCCACACAGCATGAGAAATGGAGGATCAAATGTTCCAGTACATGAGCTCGTGGGATACATCTCTCATTTAAACCGCCACAGGCCAGATAGCAAATACCTTAAACTTTGTAGCCATTCAGTGGCACTGTCGTGGCAGCAATGCCAACTTAAGCACAAACATAGCTTGTTTTCAACACAGTTTTACTTTTGTATAAGGAAAGTTGGGTTCCAGTTGATTTTATACACCACCAATTATATTACCATTTCAGTCTCTCCCTTCCCACTGATCATTCAGAATTTGGAGAAATCCCTCTTAGTTCAATGGCAGCATAGGTCCATTGGGTATTCTGTCCATGGGTCATCATTTGCTGTCATCTGATCTAGAGTCATTAGCTGGGGGCTTCTGTCTTGTGCCAGATCCTTAAAAAAAAAAAAAAAAAAAAAAAAGAGTCACAAATCTCAGGCATAGAATTCAAAGCAAATTTATTCATAAGTTAACTCATTTTGACAATACCATTCAGTTTAGGATACCACTGTTGCTTTTTCCTTTACATCTGGTCTTTATTATTTGTTGGGGTAGACTATTAAGAGCAGAGCATAATTCAAGTGTTGGGGTTCTGATTTTTTAAATATTTTAACTCAACAAAGGAAATACATGTTTCTTTCCTCCATTCCCTCCATACCCCCTCTTAGAAGCATCCTTCATTCCATCTCTTTGGCACTTTCTGAATTGTATGCATAGTCAGTCAGGTCATATTGGTGCAAATGTACCCTATGCATTTGCCTTGATGTTATTTAAAGAGAGGCTTAATTTTTAAATGTTGTTTTCAACATGAATACTCTTGAGACCACTACAATACCAATAAAACAAATCTAATAAGATCTTTAACTGTGAATTTAAAGCCTGCATAAGACTTTACCATCACTGGGATATTATACCCATTTAGTGAATATTTTTATTTTAATGTTTTTATTGTAATTCTCAAGATAGTTATAGGCTCATGAATAAAGAAATCTGTACAGTATCAATGAATAACTGAAGATATAGATGTTAAAGTCCAAGGATAAAAGATAAAGGGGGCTGAAAAGCAGTCTCTAAAGTTAGTCATCATTCAGAGGGTGATGGCCATCTTCACTGCATCTAGACCTCACTTCTTTGAACTGTGGGAAAAGTTTGTTGTGAGTAAACTTGTGGGATGCTGTTTTTGTCAGAAACAGATGTGACTAAGTGGCAGGAATTGAAAATAATGATGACTTCAACAAATTTAAGCATACACTTAATTGGCTCTCAACAAGGAGACCAGAGGCAGCCAGCAGAGTCTAGCTCAGTGGGCCCACCCTCATCAGGACCCCTGGATCTTTCTTGCTTTTAACTCTGCACTCTTAGGGTGATTTGCTGGACACCAAGCTCATGCACCCAATCCAGTGCTCCAGAGGCTGAGGCAGAATGAATGATTATCTGTGAGTTTAAGTCCAATCAAGACTAGACGGTTTCAGAGGAGTCTGGGCTATGGTTTTCGACCCTGTCTCCAAAACAGTGTGTCCATGGAGGAGGCACAGTTTGGGCCAGTTAGCTTCTCCAGTTCAAGCCATTACCTCTGCTTTACGTGCAATATGAAGATGGAATGGAGATATTGCCTTCGAATGATCCAATGCTGTTTCCATATAGTGATGCTAAAAACTTAATAATGGCAATGTTTTATTTTCAGATGATGAAAAACTTCTGCAGACAGCTGGTATTGATAATTGTACATCAACCATCAACGTGAATGACTTAATGTGCTTAAACATTGTTAAAATGATGTTTATGTCACGACATAAACAGCCCTCTAGTAAGATAGGAGGGTTGGAAATGTGGTTTTTTTATTTTGGGTAGTCATTACTGTACTGTTTTAAACATTGAGATTAGGTTGTTATTGAGGACAGGAGAATGAAGGTTGAGAAATATGAAGGGGTTTTAAAACATGTAGTGGTAGTCATTGGAAGCAAGACAAAGCAGAGGAACTCACAGATAATGTAGGGAGTGGATTTGGGGATGGGATTAATCACTGTGTGTTTGTCAGAAGTGAGGAAACAAGACAGGAGCACCTTTCATTGAGGGATCCAGAATTCATCTGTTTTTGTGTTTGCTCAGTGGCATTGCCAAAGCATGGCATCACGCACATTTTGGGGAAGGATCTGGCCCAATATTGTTGGATGAAGTACGCTGCACAGGCAATGAGCTGTCAATTGAACAGTGTCCAAAGAGCTCCTGGGGAGAGCATAACTGTGGCCATAAAGAAGATGCTGGGGTGTCTTGTATCCCTCTGACAGGTAAGGTGTCACTTCCTACATGTGCTTCCTTCTGTCCCCATGTTCCTAAGCAAAACTCAAGATCAAATCAAACACAATTTTTCTTTTAATTTCAAAGTACAATTTCCTCGCTCACAGTTATTTCTAATAGTTCCTTTTTAAAATCCAACAATGCTAGATCAGAAACTATCATTTTTTCTTTTCAATATGCAGTACCCAACATCCCAAATCAGCATGCAGTGATACATACCAGGCATTAGATGTCAGTATATTACATCTTTAGTTCATTTAGCTGGTAACTGGTCTTTCCCAGATTGTGTGTTTGTGGCCACTGTAAATCTGTGTTTATGTGATTGTTAATTAAAGAAAACTGGTAAAGAGGCCAAGCTAGCTTTATAATTAAGTTTTAGACTAATGCACATTGCAGCACGTCTGTCTTATACGTCTTGTGTCATGAGAAAGGGGATATTTGAAGTTACTTTTATTTATGCGTATCTGTGTGTGAGTTTGAAAAGTAAAAGAATTACTATCTGTGGAATTCTGATTTATATCTTTTTATTTATGTTGTTATTTTTTTTACTAGCAACACAATTCACTTGTACAGAATAGAAATTTCTAATTTACACTAAAGACAGAGAATTTCATTTTCTTTAGCCACCTTCTTTCAAATGAGGGCATCTTGTTTGTGCTATGATGGGCAGAAGAGATGGTAGGTGGTACAGGGCTTTGAAGACAACACATTTTAAACACCAGATGGTTTTGTGTCAGAGACTTTGCTCGATTCAATGGATGCCAGAGATCTATAAAAACTATGTTCTACTCTCCAGTTACTTGTGTTCCATTGAGAGGTGTTTGGATTATTTTGGATGGAAATGAATTCTAAATGTATCCTTTTGGGTAATTAAATTTATTGTGCTATATGCTTACAAACTTTTTGTAGAATCCTGTGTGTATAATGATCCACTGATTTAATAAGCTTCAAATTTCAGATCTGCATTTCAGTAAAAGAACAAAGGCAAGATGTGTTTTTATCACCCATAGGTGTCCAAGAAATGTCACACAGTAAATAAAAGACCCAGAGACAGACATTGTGGTTCAAGCTTTAAGCTGAAGATCAGGGAATCAAAGCAGTCAAGCCAGTAGATCTTACCTCTACCAAGCTAAAAATGTCAATCATGTCTCCACACATCCTCAGAGGCAAAAGGCTCTGAATCCTGTCTCCTCCTCCTTATATTACTTTCTCCACCCTGCCATATCCTCCTGTCTCTACCTCCCTAGAGCTGGGATTAAAGGCATGTGAGCCCTGGTGCGGAGATCACCTTTGTGTGAGCTGTTTCTTTTAGCACTGGATCAATTTTGTGTAGTCAGTGTGGCCTTGAACTAACAGAGATCTGTCAACCTCTTAATCCTGAGTCCTGGGAGTAAAGGTGTGTGCCTGGCTTTTATGACTAACCAATATGGCTGCTTTGCTATTTTGATCGCCAGTGGCTTTAATAAATCATAAAATATATCACCACAAAGGAGTAATGATCTCACCAACATCTAGATTGCTCTTTACCCGAAGTAGCTTTGCCCCCATTCTTAGTTCAGTATTTTAATGTGCCCTTGAGAATTTGAAATACCACCTCTAAGTCACTATATATATTTTGCTATTCCAATGAAAATGATCACTGTTCTTTAGATTTAAGAGGACTGGAATTATGGAACATTTCCCTAATAAAATTTAATGTAGAAAAATAAAAGAAAACTGTACTTTGAAATTACATCAGAAAGTATTTTCTGTTTGGAGAACTGAGTACAAATACCAGGAAGACAGATGTATTAATCGTCAGGAAGAGCGCAATGACTTCCATGACTGAGTGGAATCATAATGTTAGGTTTTCAAATGGCTCAGGGGGAGACCTAAATGCAGTTATATGTCAGGTCAAAAAAAAAAAAAAAAAAAAAAAAAAAAAAAAAGGTGCTTCTTTTCTTTCCTTTCCTTTTCTTTCCTTTCCTTTCCTTTCCTTTTTTTTTTTCTTTAAGGTAATTTGCTTTGTGTCTTTATCTCTTTATCACAGATGGGGTCATCAGACTTGCAGGAGGAAAAAGCAGCCACGAAGGTCGCTTGGAGGTATATTATAGGGGAAAGTGGGGAACAGTCTGTGATGACGGCTGGACTGAGATGAACACATATGTGGCTTGTCGACTGCTGGGATTTAAGTAAGGCTCATTGGTGTGGGTCATTAAATACCAAAACATATCTTTAAAGTCAGAAATATTGTATAACCCTTACCTGTAATTTCTAAAACCCAGTAAGCTTAACCTATCAGTGTATCATGTATCATTGATATCTATAGTCTATCATCATTTGTCTGTCATATCAGTAATGCCTACCTATTACCTAACTACCTATCTACTACCTCACCAGTCTATCTACAAATAGAAGTTCAATAAAAAATGACATTTTAAAACAATTATTAACCTTTTATGTCATTTTTTCTCACATACCCTTCATGTACTATTTCATCTCTTTTCTTGAACAAATTGTTTGACACTAAGAGTGACTTCTAGTCCATTCTTTTGTCTATTCAGGCAAGCTTCTGAATGCTTGCTTTTATCATGATGCAGTGTTACTACTAAAGGCTATTACTTTTGACATCATTGTCTAAAATTTTAGCAATTCCAGTGAGGCATGCTGTGCTGGCAGATGGTTTTTTCTTGGAACATGATGATAATTGACGCTTTTGTTGGAAAAGAACAGTCCTCTTGTCGTGAGATGATCTTTAGAGCTAGCCTTTGACCTTGGCCACTTACAATCTAAGTGCCACACTTTGGGTAGTATATATCATGTTACATACATAATGCATTCCAGAATAAAGACTTAAGTTCACTAAAGTAACTGAAAAGGATGCCCTTGAGGTAAATACTCAAAAGAAGTCCATGAATGCCCCTTCTTTCTTATCTTCCATATTTCTAAAGCATAATTTAAAATATCGGTCAAATTACTTAATTTCAGCTTGAAATACAGCTAATTGCAAACAGTCACTAAGCCTTAAAATATATATCTCACTCAGGCTAGATAAAGCCATGCTTATGGGTATTTTTAAAAAAAAGTAAATAAAATACTTCTCACAACTTCCCTTTCTTACACATCACTTGGAATTTTCATGTGTAATTTTATATCAGTTGTTGTAGTGCTTTACTTTCTCACATTGCTTTACTTTCTCAATGGCACTGTGTCACAAGTTTTGATGTAACTTGGTACCCGTTAAATAGTTACACCACAATCTAGTGAATATTCAGCTTATTTTTCTAGGGTAAAATTATTAGTTTAATAATAAATAATGCTAAAATGAAAATACAAATGTACAGATTCACCAACATTTTTAATTTTAGGGGCAATGAAATTATTAGGCCAAGGGGTGTACTAGCCAGATATATATGGCCATTTAATTAGTAAGAACTGCTGAGCATATACCATGTTACGTTACCCTGATAATTATAACCTCAGATATCACAGATGCAGGGAGACATGTGTCTATCATTTGTGACTTACTTTCACCCTCCTTAATGAAAAGAATCAACTGACAACAAGATTTCCTCTCTATTTTATATACATTAGTCTCAAAGATCCATGCCATTTTCTCTCCTGGATATCTGTGCTTACTGGCACTTATAATGTTTTCATTCATGTGTTAGAGTGAGCGTGTGCCACATTTAAGTTACAGAGGAAATTCTAAAAGTGATGATTCACTGGGCATGAGAAAGAGTAAACTTGGTGTCTTTGTACAAGTGTGGTCTCAAAGCTAATAAAACTTCCTGTTATGTGTTTTGTGGTTGAATTAGACAGAGGGGGATCAGAGTAAGGTATTTGCTGGAAGGATGCTTCAAGTCAAAAGTGACAGCAATATACAATTGAAGTTCATTGCTTTTTTGCTAAAATTTGATGAGTTAGAAAAGTAGTTTCAAAACGACTACTCAAACAGTGTTGCACCAAGAGATGGTGGTGGCACACACCTTTAATGCCAGCACTTAGAAGGCAGAGCTCATGGCCATTCTGGTTTACAGAGTGAGTTTCAGGATAGCCAGTGTTACACAGAGAAACATGTCTCGAAAACAAAAACAAAAGAAAGCTATATTGCTTTACCTTAGTAAATAACTCAGCTGGTTAGATAGAGCTAGTGATTGCACAGCAGAACTATTAGGAAAATCCGTTGCAAATGGAAAGATGTCTTCATATCTTTAATGAAGAATTAATAAAAGGATAGAATAAGGGGAATGATGGGCATACATTTTCTGACTGAGAGTTGAATTTTACAGACTCTAAGAATTGAAGCTACTTGAAAGATCTTTAAGATCAGTGATAACCTCGATGATTTTTAAGGAATTAAAGAAAAATTGAAAGAAGGGTGAAGATAAATGCAGTTCTATAACTGCCAGCTTTTAAATTTGCTATGTCACAGCTATCATTTATTGCAATACATAATACAATGTAATAAAGTCAATTGGCACACAGTGTCATTTATAAAAAACATTACACATTAAATTTATATAACCCTTCAAAAAGAACACTGTCATTGATGTTACTTTGATGGGCCAACACCAAAATTATAATCCCCAATTGGCTCCTGTTTTGGAGCAGTCACTGAATTCTGATACGCTTTTTGTCTTGGAGAAGGACTACAGAGAGCCTGAGAAAAGTGGATAAACTCAGATAAGCTCAGATAGTTTGAGCAGAGCCCCAAACAAGCAATTGTTTTCCCTCTCTACTTCACAGAGTTGATCCTTGGCCAGGAATTTGAGGTTTATCTCTTTTGCACGCTCTCTGGCTGGTGGGTTAAACTCTAGACAAAACACAATTAGCGGGTAGTTACTCATCAAGTCAACCAAAGGATGTTCAAATGGTTTAAATGCACAGCAAAGCAAACAGAGTTGGGTCTCCAAGGCAGGAGAAAGGTCAGATTCTTACCCTCTGAAGTCATGATATTTAATTAGGTTGCTTTTTAATGGTTCTTTGATTCACCGGATGGCAGTTCTGTGAACAGTGTGCATCTCATTGCTGCAGATACGGCAGACAGTCCTCTGTAAGCCATTTTGAAGGCAGCAATGGACCCATATGGCTGGATGATGTCAGCTGCTCAGGAAAGGAAGCCAGCTTCATTCAGTGTTCCAGGAGACAGTGGGGACGGCATGACTGCAGCCATAGGGAAGATGTGGGCCTAACCTGCTACCCTGATAGTGATGGACACAGGATTTCTCCAGGTAAGGACACAGGCATTCACTCTGCTTCTCCAACCACTGGTCTGGAATGCAAAACATTTCCCACCCCTGACTTACTGTTTAAAAGTGTGTTTCCCAAGGGGAAAAAAAAATAAGCTTTTGAATTCTCAACTATCATTACATTTCTAATTCTGGATTTGTTTTTCATTACTTAAAAGTCTAAGTTGCTCAATAAGAAAAAAGTTTCTAACCCCACATGGCCTAAATTCAATCCCCAGAATTCACAGGGTGGAAGGAGAGAACTGACTCCCATGTTATCCACTTTCCTCCACAATAGAGACTATAAAATTATAAGTTTTTCAAGAGTATATAACAATTTGGGGATGGGTTGCTGGCTCAGTGGCAAAGAGCACTGGCTACACTTCCAGAGGTCTGGGGTTTTATTTTCAGCACTCACATGGCAACTCATCACAACGTGTAATTCCGTCTCAGAGAATCCAAGACTCTCTTTGGGCCTCTGCAGACATCAGGCAGGCACAAACATACACACAAGCAAAAATATTCATCTACATAAATATTAATTAAATGAAGCAGGATATATGAAATGTTCTGAAAACTATTGAGATAGATCATGGAGATTGAATTACTTGTAGATGTATTTTCTTAATACTGGAAGAAAGATTTAAAAATGTAAAAATTGAAAACTAAGAATCTTAAAAAAAATTCATCAGTTTGCATTTGGTCTTTGGGTAAATCACCATTTTCTTTTTTGAATCTTCTATGAAGAATACTAAAATTTCAGACACACTAATAAGAAATATAAAGTTTCAAATGTTCTGTTTTGTACATAGCTAAAACCTACTACACTTTGAAAGCTACTAGTTTGAAGTGCATAAAATATTCACTTAAACATGCATTGGTTTTGACTTTGCTAGATCATTCTCCCTCCTGTCTCATGAAGTAATCCTGATCAAGGATTAAAACTGAGGGTCAAATTATTCATTCTGGGTACTACAAGGAAGAATGGAGAACTAAAAATTATTATTTTTTTTCTGTCTTTGTAAGGACATGGGTTATACTGATTTAGAATACACCCCAATGACTTCACAATTTATTGTTATCAATATGTAAATCTCAGTGGGGACATTAAACACAACGCATGTTTTGTTTATTTGTTTGTTTTTGTTTTTGCAGGGGGTGGATTTTAGAATTTTGAGGAGGAAATTTAATGTATTCAATTTCAACAATTTTTTAGTTGACAAATATCAATTCAGAAATTCCATATGTTGTTTTAAGCACGTATTAAGTGATATTTGGTTATTACCTCCCTGATTCCACCTCCTTGGCTGTCTTGGTCATTTTCACCATGCTTCATGTCTTTAAGACCTTTCTAGTAAGTTCTGTTGAAGCTAGAAGACTCTCCCAGTAACTAGGAAACAAAATGTGTGTGTATCAATCTGCTTGGGCTGCTATGAAGACCACAGATGGAGTAGCTTCAACACAGATATTTATTACTTCACGTTCTGGAAATGAGGCATTCAGAACCAAGGTCTTAGGGAGGCTGGCTCCTTGAGAAGGAATTCTGAAGGGTGGACTGCAAAGGACATGTATTCTCCAGGTTTCTGTCCTTGGCTTGGCAGATCTCCTCCCAATGCGTTTTTAAATTATTATTATTATTATTACAAAGTCTGTCTTCTTTGTCTTCTTTTCCATGAGTATAATTTTGTACTGAATCATTATGCAGCTTCACAACTGTACCTTTCCATCTTAGAGAGTGCATCTCAGTAAAGGCCTTGAGTAATGCCATCTACCTACCACTATCTCTGTATTGTCTGTATCTATCTCTGTCTACCTATCTGTACATATTGCAGCAGGTAGAGAGGTGACTTTCTATCACTTATGCAATTTCAACCTTAATTTACCAGAGATCAGTTTCTTGGCTTTTCAATGTTAATAAATTTTGTGATTTGAAGTCCTTTATTTGCAATAAAAGTTAAATAGAAGATTTTAGGTTTTTTATTTTTATTTTTTATTTTTTCTGATGGTTGTCTTCTTCCATGCCACCCTTTCTGGAAGCCTACCCAATTGAATTAACCAATGTATGCTAATGTTGTACCTGTTTATACCTTCCTAAAACTCCTAACTTGGAAGTATATATTCCAGCTATGGTAGTGACTTAAAAATGACTTAAAAGCACTCTTGTTTATGCTCTAATACTATTTAGAATTTAGTTGTAATAAAAATAGCTAGCTCATGATTTTGGAGTGCCATCTGTCTATCCATCCATTTGTTTGAGCAGCTCCTGTCCTCTGCATGCAGGACATTTCCAAATGCTAGTGACAAAAAGTTGAGTGATATGAGTTCTTTGATGGCAGAGCTTTAATACAGACAAGAGTGACTACTGGGTTTTAGTAGTATTTTGTCTCTCTCCCAAGAAGAAAGATTGCTAGTTGATTTTATATCTGATTTTTTAAATTGCGTTTTGTAAAATTTTCATGCTTTAACATAACTTGGCTTGTTTTGGCTTTTCTAATATTTTTATATCATGACGTAGGTTTTCCTGTCAGACTAATGGATGGGGAAAATAAGAAAGAAGGACGAGTGGAGGTTTTTGTCAGTGGCCAATGGGGAACAATCTGCGATGATGGATGGAATGATAAAGACGCAGCTGTGGTCTGCCGGCAGCTTGGTTATAAGTAAGGATGGCGTAGTTCTCTGGGATGTTCTTGGTGAACATTTCTCTGACTCTTATTTTTTTTTATTTTATTTTATTTAATTTTATATAACAAAGTCCAATTAAATGAAAACAAACATTTATACACAATATTTGGGAATTTGGGCGTCGTTCTTTCCAAACTACTTCCTGCTGGTAAGGGGCGCTGTCATGGGGGATTCGAAGAAGATTCAGATATCCTGGCTGTAGTCTGTAAGGCTGCTTTGTCCAGCTGTTTTGAATGTAGAATCACCTGGTACTCTATTTCAGGTGGTCTGGCATGATCAAACCACATTACTCTGGAAGGAATCCACATCTTTTCATTTTCTGTGGAAACAAAAATAGAAATCCTTTTCCCCAGTAACTTGTCCTTCAACTTAAATTTTGGAGTCAAAGCATTTTTTTTAATTTAATTTATTATTTTACATGTCGATCCCAGTTCCCTCTTCCTCCCTCCCTCCCTTGCTCCCTCCCTCCATATGTCCCTCCCTCCTTCCCTCCCTTTTACCCTCTCTGCCCTCTCACATGCACTCTAACCACCCTCCCCTCCCATTCCCCCACCCCAATTCCATATGTAGGGGAATGCCATCCAGTTGGGGTCATGTGGATCTGACAGGTCCTGTGAAGTAGGGACTAGGACTTCTCTCCTGTCTCTAGATTAAGGCAGTTATCCCTCCATGGGGGATATGTTTGCAAAGTCCTTTTGTGCACCAGGGATACATCCTGGCTCCACTGTCTGAGGTCCCTTAGACTGCTCAGTCCTTCTGGCTGAGACCCATATTCAGGGGGGCCTGAGTCAGTCCCATGTTGGATTCCCAGCTATCAGTCTAGTGGCCGTTAGCTCCTCCTTGTTCAGGTAAGCTGTCTCTATGTGTTTCTGCCTCATGGTCTTGTCCTCTCCATCTGCTTCTGGGTTCTAGTTCGACTCAGTGTTTTATGTATAGAGAAGTAGGAGAAAATGAGGGGGAGGAAAGGAAAACATGTGCGACCAGGAAGATTGAGCCTGGTTAGGAATAGAAGATAGGAAAGAGAGAGAGAGAGAGACAGAGACAGAGACACAGAGAGACACAGAGAGACAGAGAGAGAGAGAACATAAAAGAGGGAGCCAATATTGGTTTGAAGATAAAATTGAACACAAAGAAAGGTCTAGAGAACTACAAGACTGCTCCCAACTAACAATCTCAGCTTCCATGGAAAGGCTATCATAAATGCCCTTCCCGGAGAGTGAGATCAACAACTAACTTCTCCATGGAGCCCTCAACTAATGCCTGTTGAAAATAGGAGCAAACACCCATACATAAACTCTTATTTTTTAGGTTTATTCTAGTGGGTTTCTTTCATGTAAAGACTGTTTGTTCAATTAAAAATATCTACAGCATGGTGATTTGGAATTTCAAAGAGTCAGTAAGTAGTCTAGTGATAGTCATTTTAGCTTTCCAAGAAATATGTTACATAACATTGCAAATAGAGTCCAACTCTGACTATCCATAGTGCTGTTGCCCTCGGAGACAGGCGTTCAGTTCCACTTTTCCTGCGATGTATGCTTCAGTTCAGCATCCTTGTCACTGAACCAATGGTAGGTTCTTGCTATTCATGGGAGTCACGCTGTGCCAAGAGCACAGGATAGAGACACTTTTTTTTTTATTATTTTACATGTTGATCCCAGTTCCCACTCCTTTCCTCCTTCCTCCCTTCCTCCCTCACTTCCTCCCTCACTTTTACCCTCTCTGCCCTCTCACGTGCACCCAGACCACCCTCCCCTCCCATCCCCCACCCCAATTCCATATGTAGGAGAATGCCATCCAGTTGGGGTCATGTAGATCTGAGAGGTCATGTGAAGTAGGGACTAGGGCTTCTCTCCTGTCTCTAGATTAAGGCAGTTATCCCTCCATGGGGATGTGTCACAAGGTCCTTTTGTGCACCAGGGATACATCTTGGCTCCGCTGTCTAAGGTCCCTTAGACTGCTCAGTCCTTCTGGCTGAGACCCATATTCAGGGGGGCCTGAGTCAGTCCCATGCTGGATTCCCAGCTATCAGTCTTGGGGGCCTGTTAGCTCCTCCTTGTTCAGGTAAGCTGTCTCTATGTGTTTCTGCAGCCTGGTCTTGTCCTCTCCATCTGCATCTGTGTTCTAGTTCGACTCAGTGTTTATGTATGGGTGTTTGCTCCTGTTTCCAACAGGTATTAGACGAGGACTCCATGGATAAGTTAGTTGTTGATCTCCCTCACTATCTGGGAAGGGCATTTATGGTAACCTTTCCATGGAAGCTCAAATTGTTAGTGGGCGGCACTTTGTATCCTGCTCTGACTTCCATGTGAACTTACTGACATGTGCACCTGCACACTCGTGTTTTTCACCACACATCTATAACATAGAGGATTGTGAAATATAAGCTAAATTACATGTCACCTACTTCATAGCAGATAACTATTAGTGATTTATATTGACAAAATATACCATTGCTTATATGCATATCGTAAATATTGCTCAATTGAATTTTATTCAAAAGAGCATTTGTGTTTTATAAAATTTCAATATTTCTGTTATTGAAGTGCTCTGATTTACTGCCTTGTTTTGACCCTCTTGCTGGTCTAGTTATCTTACGGTCAGGGAGTCTATAATTTGTAATACTGACCTGCAGCCTTGCAAATATGTGGTAGAGGGAGGTAAAGAAGTCTACTCTAGATGCATAGGTGGAGTGAGTGTTCAGCTTTAAATGTCCTCTGCTTCGCACTTTAGGGTCTTCAGTTACTTGCTTTGTTTCTGTATTGATTTTGTGATCTCTTTATCCAAGAGGGTGTGATTAATCTGTATTCAGTTTCCTCTGTAATGTTAAATTCTGTAATATAAATATACAACATATCTCATTATTGTATTGATGCTGTGCTTATATTTGCAGCACTGCTATAACTGAAAAGCACAGGCTGAGTAGTTCATAAAGAATGAAGTTTGTTCAAGTCAGCATTCTGGAAGGTTGGAAGTTTGAGGAGTCTCACCTAGTGAGGACTTGCTTGATGGTGAAGTTTACTACACCGAATCTGGAAGACAGGGCCCAGATTCTTTTTATAAGGGACTTATTCAAGAGAGTTGTGAGGGAATATACACAGGAATATAACCATTAGCATGTTCACTATGTGTATACTCAAGTTTGTTCAGGGCTGCAAGGTTGCTTTCCCGTGTGTCTACACTGATTTACACACTCAGTAGCAGCGACAGCCTTTCAGTTTATGAATAGCAAGTGTTTATCTCTTCACTAATCCCTAATGAGATCAAACATGCTTCCATTTGCTTACTGGCCATTAATATTTTCTTTGGTATAAAATTCATTGTTTTGGCACCTTATTTTATTGAAATTATTTTATTTGGGATCCATCTTGCCTTTATCTTTAAGTTTGAAGTTTTTTTTATTTTTTAATTTTGTGTAATTTTGTGTAGCTTTGTATAATGTACCTTATTTTCCCTATTATAAAAGTATTTATCAACAAATATATTTCTAAATGTTTATTCCAAATATGAACTCTCTGATTTAGTTTTTCACTTTCCTTAGTATGGTTTTTAGGAAAGTGGAATTCTTAATTTAAATTGTTAAGTTTATCAGTATTTTTACTTTATTCATATCTTTGCTTAATAATATTTTTTCTTACCTGACTTGTTAAGGGTTGTTTTCCTGATCCTGATTCTAACTTTAATGATTTTTCCTTTCACAGTTGTGTTCAGTAATTTATTAGAAAATGAGTTAAACATGGCATTTTTAGTTACCTTCATTAATGAAGGTTTTTTTGGATTTGCATATCTCCAGAAAGTAATGTTAAAATAACAAAGTAAATATTCCAAATAATCCTGTCCTCCATGAGTCCCAGCTTTTTTTGTGTTAAGAATTGTACCTATTGTTCAAAAGGAGGTGAAAAATTTGTCTTTCGGTCTCTGGTAATTATTTAATCTCATATTTTTTCTTGGTAATGTGATATTAAGAGAGTGAAATTTTTGGGGTAAGTTTATTTTTGGCATCCATTATGTGTGATTTTCTAAGTAGAAGCTAAATTAGAGGCAGCTGACTCCATAAAGTGTCTGGGAGTACACCAATGAAGAATGTTAAATGTGTTGACTGTCACAATAAGTCATTTTTCAGTACGTGCACATACTGATTTTAATATACAGATCTAAAGACGAGTTAAGGTAGAGGGTGTTGAACTCTGTCAGATGCTTGTCTGGCTAACCCTCCACTTATGAAGGATGCTCTGTTTCTAGGGGTGCTGCCAGAGCAAGGGCCATGGCTTATTTTGGCGAAGGAAAAGGACCCATCCACATGGACAATGTGGAGTGTACAGGAAATGAAAAGTCCCTGGCTGACTGTGTCAAACGAGACATCGGAAGGCACAACTGCCGCCACAGTGAAGATGCAGGAGTCATCTGTGACTATTATGAGAAGAAAGCGTCAGGTAGTGGCAATAAAGGTACGTCACTTCTGGGCCACTGCACAAGTCGAGAATTACTAATTCCCATCACTATGGCAGGACTTTGTTAACAAAATCCTAGTGCAAGAGGAATGGGCAATGCCCCTCAGAGTTTGTGTTCGTGTTTAGAGCTGCTAGTGGTCGGTTTATGTGCCTTCATAAGGCTTACAGAGGGGAAGGAGTGGCCTTCCAGAACCTTGCCATCTCTGAGATCAACTCCTTGTACATTCTCAGCCATTTTTGTGTTGTTCCTACTTTGAATGTAGTACAGCTGTCCAGCTTGCTGCCGTCCTTCAAGACTCAGGACTAAGATCATTCTTATAGTTACTATTTTAAAAAGTGGCAATAACTTTTAAGAAAGGTTTGTCTTGATGTTTTGAAGCAGAGTCTCACTCAAGCTCAGACTCATCTGGAATTCTCACTGTAGCCCAGATGGTCATAAGATCACAGTGATCATCCTGCTTCAGCCTCCTGAATATTGGGATTACAGTCATGAGACACCATACCCAATTAAAGTCTATTTTAAAATATCATTTTTCTTTGGTAGATTTTATTCCCTAAAACTTTTAAATCAAAGGAAATCAAGAATACAGTATAATATTGGCATGATAGGTAGTTCGTCCTTACTTAGAACGCTTGAAATTTCTTTGTATGTTCAAATTATATGACAAGAAATACTGCTTTAAAAGAAAGAAAGAAAAGAGAGAATTAGCTTTTATTGAGAAATCTTGGTCATCTTTTATAAAAAGAACAATCATTTTTGATCTGGACAGATGTGTATAGTTTTGCTACATTCACACATCTCTCTAATAGTTGTTGAGGTAACAGAAGGGCAGGGTTGGATGGTACTGACACAGTTCTGAGATTCTGAGGGACTTCAAGCTGTGATAGCCACACTCAGAGGTCTGTTTTCCCTAAAGACAACTTAACTTGTTTCCCTAAATACATCTTTTCCTAAAAGCAACTTAATTTGTTAAATTTCCTTTCAATAACTAAAATTATACTTACAATTTGAATGTAAAAGTCCACACACACACATATGTATTTAACATTCTAATCCCAGTTCTCTCTCCCTCCTCTCTTCTTGGTCTTCCTATCCCCCTCCACTTCCTATCTGCTCCTTGGAGAGGGTAAGGCCTCCCCTAGGAAGTCTACTGATCTGTCCCATCATCTCGTTGAGGCAGAACCAAGGCACCAGCTCTCCACCCACCACACTCCTGTGTCTAGGCTGGGGCAAGGTATCTCTCCATACAGAATGAGCTCCACTAAGTCAGTGTGTGCGTTAGTGTTAGCTCTATATGATCTCATGCTCTCATATATTGTCCCAGCCACACCACTGTCACCTGTATTAAGGGAGTCTAGTTCGGTCTTACTCAGATTCCCCATCACAGACCTGAGTCAGTGATCTCGCACTAGCTTGGGTCAGCTGATTCTGTGGGTTTCCCCATCATGGTCTTGACTCCTTTGTTCATACTTTTGCTTCTCCCTCACTTTTGATTGTTCTCTAGGAGCTTGGCCCATTGGTTAGTTGTGGAGTTTTGTATCTGCTTCCATCTGTTTCTGGAAGAGGGTTCTAGCTTCTCTGGAGTTGTGAAGTGTAGGCTGGGTATCTTTTGTTTTATGTCTAATATCTACTTATGAGTACATGCTATATTTGTCTTTCTGGTTTGGGGTTACCTCACTTGGAATGTTTTTTTCTAGTTCTGTCCATTTACCTTCAAGTTTTAGGAGATTAATACTTTTTTAAAAAGCCAGTAAAGGTTATCCATAATGACCTGCAACATTTACTGAGGACCTACAAATATGCACACTTTTATGCTGTTCCTAATTTAATTGTTAAATCAGATTCTTTTCCTATCAGTTAATCAATGAGAAAACAACACCCAGACATATTGATCAATGTGTCTGTAGCCAGGTTGTTGCCTCTGAACCCTGACTTCAACTCACTGTATTTAACTCCAGTGGGCTCTTTTGTCTTTTCAAATATTAGGCTAGGGTGTTTTGTCACAGTCCAAAGTGTCTGTACCATGATGCAGTTTGTTTCTCTCATAACTTTGAGTTAGACAGGAACACTCACTATCAAGAGAAATTGGGGACCCACTCTGTGTTTTAATTTTTTCTTTATGGCCACTTCTGTATATTCTCTTCTGCTTATTCCTCTAAGTTCAAAGAATATTTATTGCTATCTAGCATATCTAGCAATATGGAAATCCCACCTTGAAAGAAAAAGTCCCTTCTACTGAATGGTCAGAGAGGTCTATAATTAATATATGTAAATATATAGGAGATTTATGGCCAAAACTCCATGTTGCAAAAAGAATGATTAATTGCCATAAAGCTGTCATACAACAGTCCCAACTGTAATCCACAATAGGGTTACTGGAAGAGCTCACATCTGTAAGAAGCAACAACAAAAAAATCCACACATAATTATGTAACTATAAATAAACATGTAATTATATGTAATATCTATATATGCTGTATAAAGTATATCAAATTCCTGAAGCAGTTGAAAACTGTAAAACTGAATGTGTAAACGCACTTTATTTTGATGCTTTTCCACGGTAGGCAGTGCCTCCATCCCACAGTGAAAATGTTTCTTCTCTAGCTCCCTGACAGAATTTGGCTCATTATCGTCTTGCTTTTTCTGCTGCAGCTCAGGACCCAGTGACTTTCATAAGACAATTAGACACAAGTGATTGGTGACTGGTCACCTGACAGGACTCTCTTACAAAGGAATGCGATCTCGCTTCTCATTTCTTTATATGTCAGTATACAGCTTAAAATTGATTTTTGTTTCTTAAAGTCAGAATGATGGACACTTTAGATTTGCTTACTGTTGGAGCAATACTTTTCTTGGCATCAGGTACACGGGCCCAGTGTGGAACATTACCACACAGTTCTTCTCATATTGTAAATTACAGTGTCAGCTGTATCCAAAGACTCATATCCAAAGTGATGAAGGGTCAGGTTTTGATGGCAGACCCCGAAGATCATTTGGCAAATTAATCCTCCTGATACACATTGCTCCACCTCTTTCTTTGCCAAATATTACTGCTAGCTCTCGTGGATCCCCTTGCCTTGGAACCATTAGCACTGATTTGGTCTTCATGTTCTTGGCACAATTCCCATCCTCCTTACACAAAGAGAAAAATAACAAAACAAAAAACATATATATATATATATATATATATATATATATATATATATAAAACTTCATGTTTTAACTTATTTATACACTTATTAATAAACAGTACATACATTTATGTATATATGAAACACTAATCTACATATGTTCCTTGTAAAATTTGGTCATGCCTTATGTGTTTTCTTTTGTATACATCTGCCACTTTCTCACATATTTAGTTGAACTCATGTATTTATGACAGAAATGTTACCCTGGGAAGGATAATCAGGATTGTTGTGGCAGCCTATGAAATACTTCAGAGCCTAATGATTGAAAACTTCATAAATTTCTGATCTACTTGCATAAGACTGTTGTTAGGTTAAAATATAATTTATTTCAAGAAAAATAACAGTACAATTTTCTGAGAAAATTTAAGTAGAGGAGGAAGTACCTGGGACATGAGATGGATATTAGTAACCCCTTTGTCCTTTCAGAAATGCTCTCTTCAGGGTGTGGATTGAGATTATTGCATCGTCGACAGAAACGGATCATTGGTGGGAACAATTCTTTAAGGTAATGAAAGGCTCTTGAAACAGATTTTCATATTACAGGATTATTAATATATGTGTGTGCTCCCAGTGTTCCAGTCCCAGGGTTCCCTTTTATTATGCATGGGGCTTGTTTTATTATTTTATAAATTAAGTAAAGATTGCACAGATAGTTTCCCTGCTTGTTTTGCTTATAGGTTTATTTATTTTTATATGCATTGGTGTTTTACCTGCATGTATATTTGTGCAGGGGTGCTTGATCCCCTGAAACTGGAGTTACAGACAGTTGTGAGCTGTCATGTAGGTGCTAGGAATGGAACCTGGTCCTTTGGAAGAGTAGCTGGTGCTCTTAACCACTGAGCCATCTCTCCAGCCCAGTTTTCCTGCCCTTTGAAGCATATTCAAAATACATACATACATACATACATGTACATACATACACACACACACACACACACACACACACACACACACACATATATATATATATATATATATATATAAAATCATGTTATCACATCATTGAACTCTTAACTCATGGTATGTTTCTGATGCAAAATGTGACAGAAACAAAGCATGTAACTGTGGAGAGCCGTTTAATGGAGGAGAAGTGTGTTCCTTCTTATCAATGTAAATGTGTATTCACGGTCCTTCAGAAGTTACCACTCCTCATAAATTTCCGCATTGGCCTGTGGCATGGCTTCCTGGGTTCAAGGTGATTGGAAGCAAGGCTGGGGAACTGAGTTTGGTCCTCAGAACTCATGTGGTGGAAAGAGAGAACTGACTCCCACAGCCACTATATAACCTACACACACACACACACACACACACACACACACACAGAGAGAGAGAGAGAGAGAGAGAGAGAGAGAGAGAACTCAAATGAAAAGCCAAGAAAAATTACAATGGCAGCTTATTCTAAAGCAGAAATATACATCTGATGTATATAAACGTTGGAAGACATTAGCAGGCACTGTGGATAGAGACCTTTATGTTCTTTCTATTACATGACTACAAGTTAAAATTTAAGACAGCTATAGATAATAGCATTACCTAATTCACTTTTACATTGTAAAGTGTTATATTGATGTGAGCAAAAAAATCTACATATCATTGTATAGGGTTAGAAAGGACCACACAATTTTTCATGTACAGTGAGAACTTTGAGTTACAATTTTCATCTGATGAACCATATTGAGAGGAGGGTAATACAGCATACTTACTAAAGTGACTTTTGGTCCTCAGCCGCACGTGTGTGTGTGTGTGTGTGTGTGTGTGTGTGTGTGTGTGTGTGTGTGTGTGTGTGTGAATGTACAGGTGCCAAGGCATGAATGAGGATAATTGTTTCTTAGTTGAGTGATTTTTAAAATGAAATTTTAGTTCTAATTCACTGGTGGGAGCCAGTACTGCTTTAGGCTACCCTGTGTTAGCTACATGTGTGACATAGAGCAAGTAGAGAAATTACACTGGACCCATGGAATATAAAGAAGACAACTTGCTTCCTAGAGAGTTGAAAGCGAGTTGGATGTATAGAGATGCCTGTTGACAAATTTTCAGAGTTGCTGATCTCTGTGGTCTGTTGAGTTGTGTGGGCATTGTTTCCCAGGAAGAACCTAAGGGCTTCACTCTACTTTGAGTTCTTCCCTCCACCTGCGTCAAAGCCATTGTTTTACCCGATGCTTTTCTTTCCTTTTCTTCTAGGGGTGCTTGGCCTTGGCAGGCTTCCCTCCGGCTGAAGTCGTCCCATGGAGATGGCAGGCTGTTGTGCGGAGCCACCCTTCTGAGTAGCTGCTGGGTCCTGACAGCAGCGCACTGCTTCAAAAGGTGTGTGTCCCTCCTTCTAAGCAATCCAATTCCCTCTAGCTCACTCTATGCTAGGGTGGCAGAACCGGACTATATACCTTCTCTGTTTGCCCTGCAGGCTATGAACGTAAGGGAGGTGATGCAAACAAGAACAGCAAAGAGGCTTCAGGAAACAACCTGATGTTCTTTGTCTAAACCAAGTCTGGAACAAGGGAGGAGGGAAGGGAGGTTTGGAGAGAGGAAACAGATATGGTTGGTGGTGGTTTCCTCAAGTGTTTATCCAAGATATGTGGGTGTGGAGACACATCCCTGTACTTTGGAGGCTGATGCAAGAAAAACACTGAGTTTATCCAAAATAACAATACTACTATTACTACTAGTAAGACAGCAAACAACATATATTGTCAAACAAAAATATATCTGATTAAATTCATATTCTTGTAGAAGAAAATTCAGGTATGTTATTTGGTTACCAGTTCTAAGGAAGAATGGATGTAGCCCTTAGTGCTTTCAATGCTTCTATATTCTTGATGGTTTGCATATTTGCTCTGTACCTTCTTGAAAGCCATATTGCATCCCTGTTATTTTTAGCTTTTATGGCACATAGTGCTATTCTGACCAGAGTTTCCTCTTGTCCTGGACATTTATCAGTCCATCCTGAGCTCTTCCCAGCTCCTTGAGCAAGCTGCACTAGAAGGTCACTGTCCAGTTCCAAGGCTGTCCTCACGGTGCCTCTCTCCTCATCCATGTGTACTGTTTATTTACAGGCTGTAGTCAATAGCCATTTCTTTACATTAACTTTGGCATTTAAAGATGTATACCAACATTTGGCAAAATGTTGATAATTATTGAAGCATGGCAATGAACATGAGGAATTGTGGTATACTACATTAATTTGGTACAATGCAAAAATTGTCCTAATTAAGATTTGAACATAATGTATTATAAGGAGTATGGTTTTTCCTCCCACGGCCAGTCTTGTCCCACTGCCGCGCCAGCCCCAATTAATATACAGAGACTCTGTATATGATATAATTCTGTTGGCCAGTTACTAGTTTCTTATCGGCTAGCTCTGTCTTAATTATTAACCCATTTCTATGTATTTCCACGTGGTCTTACCAGCGAGAGGCGGCTGGCGGTTCTATTCTCTCCAGATTCTCCATCTTGACTCCTCCTTCCTACTTCCTCTTTCCTCCTTGTCTCCTAGTCCCTTCTATCTTCCTTTCCTATTGGCCAACAGTGCTTTATTCATTAACCAGTATGAGAAACATATTTACAGAATGACATCTCCCATCAATGTATACCATAGAGTTGAAGAATTCTTCAAAGTAAAACATTATTTGTCTCTTTTACATAATATTGCATGGTGCATTTATGTTTTACTGTGTATTCGTAGTATGTCTGTGTAGATTCATTTTAACCAATGAGTGAACTGTCACTTCTTTTCTAGAACTTTGCACTTTACTCATTCCCCTGCTAATGAGTAGTTAGTTATTCCTACTCTTCCGATACTACAGAGTACTGCTGCAGAAGACATCTGTGTAGCATTTGTTGGGTGTTGATTATAATAATGCCTCTGTCATACTTGTTTTAGGGACTCTGTTGCTGTGAAGAGACACCATGACCATGGCAACTCTTGTAAAGAAAACACATTTAATTGAGGTGGCTTGCATTTTCAGGGGTTCAGTCCATTAACATCGTGGTGTTAACATAGTGTCCTGCTGGCAGACCTGGTGCTGGAGTAGGAGCTGAGAGGCCTTACATTTTGACTCACAGGCAACAGAAGTGGCCTCGTTATAACACTGAGTAAAGCTTGAGCAAACGAGACTTCAAAGCCCATCCCTACAGTGACAACTTCCTTTAATAAGGCCACATCTACTTCAACAAAGCCACAGCTCCTAATAGTGCCTCTCCCTTTGGGTGGTGGTTCTTTCAAACCACCACAATATCCTTTGCCTATTTTATATATATCATTATCTTTTTAAGTAGATTTTATTTTTGCATATGTTTTACATACAGAGCCTTTGTTGTTATGTGTCACAAAGATCTCTTCCTGGAATGTCACACTCTTCTATTGTTTATGATTCCTTTCCTGTCTGATTTCTCCTTTTGTTTGGTAACATGGGGTCTTATGTAGCCAAGTCTGGCCTCAAACTCACTAAGTAGATAAGGAAGGCCTTGACCTTTTGGCCTTCTCTCCACTTCTCAGGTGATGGGATTTATAATGTGCTCAGCACACAGTTTTATGCAGTGCTGGGGATCTAGCCCAGGGCTCTGTGTGCTGTGTGTAGGCACCTGACCTCCTGAGCTACATCTCCAGCCCTGTTTACAGTTTTTCTTAGTTTCCAAGTTTTTTGTGCATCTTATCACACCTTTAATCTCAGCACTCAGAAGGCAGAAGCAGGCAGATCTCTGAGTTCTAAGCTGACCTAGGATAGATAGGGAATTCTAGGTCAGCAAAAACTATATAGCAAAATTCTGTCTCAACAAAACAAGACATTTCCCCTAGTTCCATATAGCAATCACATTGTCTTGCTTTTCCCTTAAAATAGTGAAAGGTTTTGTCTTACAGTTTACTTTATACATTATATAATATGAGGAAGGGGCCTGGTTCTACACTCTCCTTTATTCATGGTTTCCCTCTTTTCTGTTTTGAATGTTTCCATTTTCACCTACTGACTTATGATAACTATGTCACACACTGAATTCTCCTGTCTGTTTCATAATTATTTGTGCATTTGGGTTCCATGCACAAGGTGCTTCACAGGACAGAAATCCACACTCATATGGTTGCTATGTTGGGTCTATAAGAAATAGAGCTTAGTCTGAAAATTTACCCAAATACAAGTTGTTTTAAGACATTTCTGTGTTACGTGAGATGCAGAGATCATGACAATTGTAAACACTCACACGTGAACAAGTACTTGCTGGATCCCAGGAATATGCTCCAACAATGCAGGCAATAATGAGACAGCTTGAATGCTTGCCCTCCATACAGTGTTTGGTGTTGCTGTAAGAACCCAGAGGAAAAGAGACACTATTTCTATGACCAAACACTTTAGGGGACCATCTTTAAACTATATTCTTTTCACCACGATGTGAGATTCACTTAGCTTGCTAAGTGTTAAAGTTCCTGGGGTCAACCCTACATCTGCTGGGTTTGTTTTGGAGCTGATACTCATGGGTGTGTGTTTGAATCTAAATCTCAAGTGTCTTATGTATGCTAACATTTCAGTCCCATTGGTTTGGTGGATAGGACAGGATATGGTTTGAACATTTGAAAGTAATTATGAAGTAGAATGCATAATGGAGCTGACAGTTGCTTAACCTTGTTCAATGGACTGATTGCAAAACTGAAAATGGACTCTGATGATAAGCTATTTATATTTAATACATAATGCATTTGAAGACAGAATCGTGATGGCAAAAGATGTTGACCAACTGATTTTTGTCAGATAAGGGCAAAATAAAATGCCAGGAAACAGTCTAAATATAGCACAAATGAAAAAGTCATTAAATGGTGTCTAACGCTCCAACTTTGTGTCAGTATGTCATGGGTTGGTGTACAACACTGTTACTATGTCAGTAATGTAATTCAGTTTCCCACAAAACTAATCTGCCGACAGAACAGCGTCCAAATGAAACAGTGAAAGCCTTGCTGCTTTGTCTCAGTCAGCTTGAAAGACTGTTGGGAGAACAGCACCAACTTTAGAGAGAACTGTGCATTGTCTTTTGGAGAAAGTGGAGAATGTGTGTGTTGACTGTTGCTTCAAACACCACAGATGCCTTTTCACGTATGTGTATGTGTTTGTGTATGGAAGTGTTCATGTGTTCACACATATGTGTGTGGGTATATGTGCACATATGCAGATATGCACATAGAGGCCAGAAGTCAGGTGTCTTCTTCAATTGCTTTCTACCTCATTTAAAATGAAATGTTTTGTGTATGAGTATATTAGCAGCATGTGTGTATCTGTGTTTGGTGCCGGCAGAGGTCAGAAGAGGATGTTGGACACTCTGGGACTAGAGTAATAGACAATTGTGAGCTGCCATGGGCTGCTGGGAACTGAACCCAGGACCTCTCCAAGAAAAACAGGTGTTCTTAACCGCTGAGCCATACTTTTTGAGATAAGGCTGCCACGTGGAGCTCACCAGTTCAGTCAGCAGGCCCCTTTGTCCCAACTCTGTGTCCGCAACCTCAGGCTCACACATGCACTACTCTGGCCAGCTTTCATATGGCCGCTGAGGATTCAAAGGAAGGTCTGCATTTTCGCACAGTGAACACTTGGCCCACTAAGCTATCTCACCAGCACCTTGTGTTTTCCTTTAAATACACCGTCTTAGACTCTTTCCATGTTGCTGTGATAAGATACTCTGACAAAAGCAACTTAAGGGGGAATGGGTTTATTGTAGTGCACAGACAAGGTGCAGTCCATCATAGCTCAAGTTAAGGCAGCAGGTCACGTGGCAGTGACAATCAGAAAGCAGAGGGATGAATGCTTTCTGGTCCTCTGCTCTCCTCCATTCATACAGTCCAGCATCCCAAACAGGAAATGGTTCCACAGTGGACAGGACTTCCAGCTCCAATGAACGTAATCAGGACAATCCAATGCCCAGAGGTCCATCTCCAGGGTAATTCTAGATTCTGTCAAGTTGACAGTTAACATTAACCATCACAGATGGAATGGCCCATATGTAGAGTGAACATGTGCTTTAAATGCATTTATTTATTTATTTTTGGTTTTTTGAGACTGGGTTTCTCTGCATTGCTTTGGAGCCCATCCTGGAACTCACTCTGTAGACCAGACTCCAGGGGGCCTCGAACTCACAGAGATCTGCCTGCCTCTGCCTCGTAAGTGCTGGGATTAAAGGTGTGCGCCTCCAACACCTGGCTCTTAAACTTATTTTTAACTAAAATGTAATTGTTATTTCTTCCCTCCCTCCAGTTCCTCCAATGTAATCTCCATACCCCACCCCATTGACTATCAAGTTCATGGCTTATTTTTCTTTGTTATTACACACACACACACACACACACACACACACACACACACACACACACACGCACGCACGCACGCACACACCCACCTTGAGGGACTCATCCTGGGGGAAGAACAATTCTCCTAAGAACACATTTTTTTTTTTTTTTTTAAAAAAGAGAGGTTGCATTCATGTAATAGAAGATGGCAGTAGGTAGTGTTGTGGGATTGCAATGTTGACACTTTAAGGAATAAGCATTTGACACCAATGAGAGTGGAAGAGAGATGTCACTAGTGGACCATAACCAGGACAGCTCCTGAGAAGCTCTCATGCTAGGTCTAGTTTGTATTCTTATTTTATACTCTAAAATCACAAGGTGAGACAGGTAAGCAAGATTTGACGAAAGCAGGCATGGCAGTCAGAGGTTGTTAAGGGCAATGATCCATTATTTCATCCACTTCTCCAGGTTGTTTTGTTTGGGTAGCAAGTGAAGCCATGCTTGGCAAATAGTCGGTACAAGTTGTACTTTAAGTCAATCACTGATAAATCCGTATCTAGTAATCAGTCTCTTCTGTCTTATTCTATTCCAGTAACATAGTGATGAGAAGGTATGAGATACACAGAGAATGACGGAGTAGCACATATATTATGAGAAAGGGTATGGGGTCAGTGGTTTGTTTGGTAGAAGAGAGAAGCAGGGACACTCTGGCCTACTGGGTTTGTGAACCTCTTTCTCATTTGTTTTCTGAGCCTTGAAGTATGTTCAAAGAACATTTTCACAATAGGGGTCATTGGGATCTTCTAGGAGAGGTCTGAAGGAAGAAAGCAAATGTGTAAAGGTATTTTATAAGTTTGAAATTACATGAAAAGAAATGCCCACAACTCTAAAGTCTTGAGTATGCATTTTTCTGAAGTGAGTCAAAATTGTTTTTTGCCAAATGATAAAGACCCACAGTTTTAGGAACTCGAATGGGTGTGTGCAGGAACCCTAACTTTATATTTTTATATTGGAGGGAGACCAGTTCCATGGCTGTTGTAATAAAGGAGACGAGAGGTAGCACAGGAGAGAAGAGAAACACTGGACTAGTAGTGGACGGATATAATAGAAGCTGGGATGTGGCCATCAGGACCAGAATCTGGGAGGGAGGGTGTTGAACCTTTTGTTTACAAATGATGCTTTTCTACCCTGGCCTGACCATTCCAGATAATGCTTAAATAACATAGAAGATACTCCTAAGTGCTCCTTCCATGATTAAAGTGGGTGCTCTGTTCCCAGGTGGTGGATATAGTTAAGAATGATGGACTATTTAGAGGACAGAGGTTATTCTAAATGTAGATCAACAGATAACTTTTTTCATCTGTCATTTGGGATCCCTTTTATCTACAGAGTATGAGATAGACGGACAGTTAAATATCAGAGGAACAGGTTATGATATTCAGCATTTTCTATGCTTTAGAAACCACGGGAGCATCATTTAATGCGAGTAAGAGGGAATCTGCTTCCAGTGTTACAGTCCATCTGATGTGGACTTTAAGCTTCATTGCATTTGGGGTCTTCTTGTTTGAAGTGCCTGAGGACTTTTGAGTAATTTTATTAAAAGGCATATAGTCAGCTATTAGTTCTTTAAACAAGCTTTGGGTTTTGGTTTCCTAGATTCTGGGGCTATGGCTCAATTCTCTGCCAATCATAAAACACTGGCATTTGCAAGAAGCAGAGTGTAGGCCCCAAGAATTTCTTTTGAGTTTCATTTGTAGATGTAGGAAAATATAATCGCCTAATTGAAGGCCTCCTTTGACGAGAGCTGGATTTTGTATTTGATTGTTCCCTATTTCTTGCTTTCCTATTTCCGGACACTGAGCCTCGGTACATGTAGAGACAGACATGCCGGCCCCATTTAGCTCCTGTTCTTGAGGTGATGCTATGACCAGCACTTTAGAGCAGCCATGTGTGGACAATGAGAGTGCTTGGTGTCTGCTGTGTCCTTTGTTAGACTGAGGAAAGCTTGAGGTTTGATCTTTACAAAGTCATCACTGCTTTGTATCAGAACAGTCTAGAAGAGATGGCCTCTTTGAAGCCTTTTCTATTTGGTAAAGGATTGACAACTTGATGCTTTGTCCTTCTGTATTTTCCACTCCTTCCCTCTTCACATTTGCTGCTTCCTAGGAAACAGTCATTTAGACATACAGCAAAACCAAACTAAGATAGTAATGGGCTTTGGGGTGAAGGGCAGTGAGCATTAGGGGAGAGAAATGGAAAGATGGGTTGCAAAAGGACGTGGTTTGAAATAAGATTTATTGTTATAGTTTAAACATCCCTAGCTGTCAATCATCACTTTTCATTATCTGAAAAAAGCCTCACATCTGGCTTTTCCCTTTCAGGTATGGTAACAACACAAGGAGCTATGTAGTTCGAGTTGGGGATTATCATACTTTGGTACCAGAGGAGTTTGAAGAAGAAATGGGGGTTCAACAGATTGTGATTCATAGGAACTACCGGCCAGACAGCAGTGACTATGACATCGCCCTGGTTAGATTACAAGGACCAGGGGAGCAATGTGCCAGACTAAGCACCCATGTTTTGCCAGCCTGTTTACCTCTGTGGAGAGAGAGGCCACAGAAAACAGCCTCCAATTGTCACATAACAGGATGGGGTGACACAGGTAATAATAAAAAGACACAAACTAGGAAAACTGGGCAGCTTCCTGTCTCTTGCCTACATGCTAGGATGTGCAATGGTAGGACTTAAATGGAGTCCTTTGATACTTGAAGTCTGCCAGGTGTGAAATATACACATGTAGCCTTAAGAGTCACATCCTGGAAGTTTTAGTCCTAATTCCAATGTTAGCAAAGGCTGATAAACTCAACTGCCAGTAGGGTAGGTAGAAAGTGTTCTACAACTTTAGTTACCCAGACCAGGGAGAGGACAGTCAAGAGACTTAAAGGTCCCTGCGAATATTTCAGTGTGGTTTCGAAAGCTCTCCATATAGATGATTTGAAGCAGCTGGCCCAGTAAAGGGTTTTGCTTTTTGTTCTTTTTGCCAGGGAACCCTCAAACTGACTTTTAAGTTTGGCCAGAAAATAGCAAAGCTTCTTAGATGGAAACTCAAGTTGAAGAAAAGCATTTAACTTTCTTCCTCACACTTTGCTTTCTACTCCAGCCTCTAAGCAGTGGCAGAATTCCACATGGGTTCTCAGGTGAATGTAGCTGCTTGAGCTGTCTCGCTGTGGAGACAAACTAGTGCACATCAAGTAGCAGGTACTTCAGGACAGTCCTTAAAATACACAAAGCTCTCACTATCATTAGGTGCTCAACTTAAAAATGTATATTAAATAAGAGACCTCAGGTTGGTGGCTTTCTATCCAAAAGATTCGCTTTCACATTCTTGAATGCCTCAGAAGCAACAAATCACCCTGAGAAAGCTGTTTTAGAACAGTGATTCCCTCATGAGATTATTTGCTTTCTTTTGGATACATGGAATGACCTGACAGTACATTTTCTAGGATGGTCTAGTTACTTCCATTAAATAGACTATGAGAACATGTGGGGCACAACAGTTGTACATTTAAGCCAAATAATGGCCTGTCAGAAAGCAGACTATGAATACCATGTGGTATTCAGTCTGTTTAAATGAGAAACTATGTGCACTTTTATTTTGGAACTATGCTTATACAATACATCCCTATATTAAACACCTGTAACTTAGTATCCCCATTTTGAAATCCCGTCAATGCTGCACTAAATGCAGTCATTAACTGAAATCTTCTAACTCAATTCTTTTCTTTGGTCTGAGCAGGGCGTGCTTACTCAAGAACTCTACAACAAGCTGCTGTGCCTTTACTACCCAAGAGGTTTTGTAAAGAGCGTTACAAGGGTCTATTTACTGGGAGAATGCTCTGTGCTGGAAACCTCCAAGAAAACAACCGTGTGGACAGTTGCCAGGGAGACAGCGGAGGACCACTTATGTGTGAAAGACCTGATGAAACCTGGGTTGTATATGGGGTGACTTCCTGGGGGTATGGCTGTGGAATCAAAGATACTCCAGGTGTTTATACCAGAGTCCCTGCCTTTGTACCTTGGATAAAAAGCATTACTGGACTTTAATATATGGAAAGCTCAAGAAACAGAAAACAAACTCATGGAAAAGTATTCAGTCTCCACATTGGGCATCAAGCCAGGGAAGACTCCTGAGACTCATCCCTTCTCCAGCAGTTTTGAGGTACAGGCAGTTCAGTATAATAGTTTATTATCCTCGCCTATTGTATTTATGATTTGGTGCCCAACTAGTTAAAACCAGATTTTACCTATAAGACTGGCATCTCCTTGAAATCAGAGGCCAGAAAGTGACAAACTTGTGAGCAGAGTTACTTACTTATCTACTTACTCACGAGTACCTTAATATCAAGCAAACCCTAAGGGCATGCTTTCAGCCACCTATAAGTTATTACCAAAATCATTTTCCCAGAGCACAGTAGGAAGCCAAACTTTTATTGTACTGTTTTGGACCACAATGTAAGAATGCCACCTACTGGCCCATCCCAACAAACCCAGTTTTCTCAAGACTAATCAGACACAATCCATTTTATACTAGGGGAAAAATGCACATACTGCAACAACCTAAGAGATGGCTGGTGGGAGGCTAGATTCCAAGGAGTCCCTCCTGTGGTTGGAGATACGGCACATCGCACTCTTGAGTGATGCCAGAGCCTTCTCAAAGCACAGCCCACACCTTAGGGGTGTGAAGCTTGAATGCATTAATATTCATGTAAAACCCAATTCTTACAGGCAGACACCTAAAGGCTTGGGGAAGTGAATTTCTGTAAAGGCAACTGTAATTGGATCACCTTGTAAATTTTAAGACCAGCAACTGGCAAATGTAATGAATAGTTAATGTCATTTGAATTAAGTACAAAAGCCACATGAAATAAAATATGACCCACATGTGTTCAGTGCATCTTTGCATAATATGCAGCAATCAAACTATTCTCTTAAGAGGGCAATAATTTCCTGTGCAAATGTCTCCTGCACCAGAATTCACTCATACAGTTTCCAAAAATAAACAGGACACATTATTTACCAACTAAACTTTATTTATTTGGTTCATGAAAGAAAAACTTTATATGAAATAAAAGGTCAGGACAGTACTGAATACAGTGCTGTATTAATATCCATAATACTCATTTCCAAGATATTAAGTGCGAAAATCCCCTGTATCTCAGCCACTACTGCTTTGCTTTAAATACCTGCAAGAAAAGAAAACCAACATTAAGAACATCTGCGGATTCCCCAGTCTTGAGCACCTATCAGTTTATCGACGTCTCATTTACGTTACACAATGTCAGCACACGTGCAAAACTGCACCTGACCGTAATGACGTCTTCCCAGTCACCCGGAACCCCGAGGACATTAAAAAAACAAGACCTCACCTTAACGTATCATCCCTCACTCAGCCAATACCGATGAATTCGGGTTACCTAGAAACATATATTTCAATAGTTAAGAAAAGTCTGTCCAGTTTCCTAGCGTTAAGCAAACTCTTAACCTCTTAGAATGTTACTTGTTCAAGTCAGAATCTGATACCAATTAAATGGTGACAGCTTTGCCAATAACAAGCACATGCTCTTCCATGGCTAGGAAGGGAGACTGCCACAGGCGGCAGGTCCCAAAGATACATGGAGTCTCACAACCCAGAACCCAGGTTAGCTGCCGAAGTTGTCACTCACCATCCGGGAGAGTGGAGTTCGCCGGCGAACGAGATCGGCTTCACACGGTGTTGGGCTGCGTGCTAGCCCTCACCACGCTCCTGCGGTGCTGACGGCCAGCGGCCGGTACCGCAACGGCCCGGGGTCCCCCGCATCCCGGCCGCTCACGGATGCGGGCCCAAAACTCACTTCGCCGCAAAGACTACATAGTAGGGGCAGCACACAGAAGGGACTGCAGCGAAAGAGAGCTCCGCACGCTGTGTGCGCGTTTTTATAGTCCCGCTGACGCTTTCCCGAGAGCCTGCGCGCGAGAGGCGTGGCCTGTGTGTCCTCTCTGGGCCCCCGCCGGCGCCCAGTCACTATGATTGGCTCTTGCGTCCCGGGTTCCACGCATGCGCCTACAGGAATGGTGGGGCGGGTGTAGTGGGATGGAGCGGTGGGAGGGAGGAGGAGAACAAATCCCAAACCTCAATTCTCGCGTTGTCGGAAGTCTCGTTGCCGCCGATGCGACCCCAATGAGGAGCTCTGTTCGTCCCCGCGCGTTCTTTCCGTCCTCCCGGCACTGCGGCCGCCTGACACGTCACGTCCGGTTGTCGCTGGATGGTTCCGGCGCGCACCGGCGGCGGACGCGGGCGGCGCGAGCCGCGGGGGTGCCGGCGTCACCTCCCGGGCGCAGTCCGTCCCGTGGTGCGGAGGGAACGCCCCCGGCAAGTGCCCGGCCAGCCCTTCTCCCGGTCCCGGGGGAACCTTCCGTGACGGGCCGCTGCAGGCGCAGTGGCTCACGGAGGAAGCTGCGAGGGCGATGGCCAGAGCTGCTCGAGCTCGGAGGCTGGGGTCCCGTTTGCATCTCAGGGACCCCGAGGTCACCGCGTTCACGGTGTCGTTTTACTCACACGTCACTCACGATGCGAAAGCAGCAGTCAGTAACGAGGCCCCAGTACTGCGCTCGGCCGAGGCCTTTGCCCGCACACGCTTCCGTGGGCTAGTGTAGACGGTCGGGGAGTGCCAAAGGTAGAGTCCCCGGAGCAGTCCGAGGCGAAGCGGCTGCCCTTTCGGAGCCCGCCTTTCTCTGGCCTGTAGATGGTGCTGCGCATCTTCCTGTCGGATTTTCCTCCGTGCCTTGAAGCCCCGCTTTAAAAACGGATTATTAATGCAACCGCTTTCCCCGAGAGTAGGGATTAAGGCCTCATAAGTTCTAGGAGTACGGTTTGTTTGTAGAACCATGGCATTTATGCTAAGATTTTAAGTGAACATTTCCGTTTTGTTAGATAGCATGGGATGAATGAGAGTTTATGTTCCTGCCTTTTAATAAAAAGTTTTGTTTAGTCTGAAACTGGGCTTTTAAACCCCCACCCCACTTTGCCACTCCCCTGCCTCCTTCTTGCTCATTTCTTGCATTGTTACTCTCCCCTCAACCACATCTCTTTACTGTCGAAATTCTTTCCTGATTTCAGTGTTTTGGTCGAACATGGTTAAGGAAATGCCCATCCCTAAACCCGAATTTGATTTTTTTTTTTTTTTTTTTTTTTTTTTTGGCATGTAGCTATATTTGCATTTTTTTTTGGTGTCTTTTTTTTCTTTTTCTTTTTCTTTTTCTTTTTTCTTTTCTTTTCTTTTTTTTTTTTTTTAAATAAACTCCTGTGAAGACCTTAATTGAAGTTCCTCCCTGGGAGACCTGATTTAAGTGAACTCTTGGGACCATGGTCAAATGCTTGAAGAGTATGGTATCTATTTCTGATACTTTGAAAAATTTTGTGATTAGTGTTTGGGAAGACACTTCATTTGTGAGTGCTTACCTAGCAGCACAATTCCTGGGATCAGTCCCCAAGGCATATGTTGGGCATAGTGGCATATTTATAACCCCAGCACTAGGGGCTTTCAGAAGGTCAGGGTCTTTCTTGGCTACCTAGTAATAGTAAGTTTATGGAGAGTCCAGGGTACATGAGACCCTAGCTCAAAACGATTTATTGTTCTTATTATTTTAAACAGTATGAGTGGGTGGCTGCAAATGTACCTTAGAGGTAGAGTGTTTGTCCAGTATGCACAAGGTCCTGTGTACTACAGGGACAAATAAAATAAATAACAAAAGTCATTTTTCTCCAGGTGGCCTTTAATCCCTCTCCCAAATTGTAGCACCAATTTCGTCATGGATTTTATAACTTGATTTCAAGTAGGGTAAAGGAAGGAGGATGTCCTAGTTTTTTCTGTGGCTGTGATAAAACATCATGACCAAATGCAGTTTGGAGAGGAAAGGATTTATTTGGCTTCCAGGCTACAGTCTATCATCAAGGCCCAGGCAGGAACTTAAGCAGATTCCTAGGAGAAATGCTGCTCACTGGCTTGCTGTTCTTGGCCGACTCAGTTTGCTTCCCTATACAGTTGAGGACCAACCTGCCCAGGAGTGGTATTGCCCACACAGGACTGCACCCTGCACATCAATCATTAATCAAGGAAATGCCTCACAGCCGAGCCCACAGACAGGCATTATCTCAAAAGTGATCCCTCTTCTCAGACACAAGTAAGCGACACAGAGGAGAAAGTATACCTGAGCTGTGCAGAAAAGGGATAGACATTCCCCATTCTGGGTAAGAAATGATGACAGTGTGCTCTCTGTCCTTGTTCCTCAAATTCCACACTGTATTCTGACCACGAGGAAAAAACAAAACAAAAGTTAGACAAAACTGCTTATCTAATTCTTTTAGGTGATTAGATAAAATCAACACTGCCTTTTTAAAATTTTTTTTCTGTAAGTCAGAAACTTCACAAATGAAGTTTAACACAAAAGTCATCATACTTTCATAGTTGATCATATCGCTTTAGGGCAAGTGCTACTTTAGGATGGTCCATCTCTATTATGAATTTGAGACAGATAACATTTCTAATCAGTGGAGATCTGAGTTTAATTCCAGTGAGTCCCATCACTACCTTGGGAAGGTGTTGAGTCAGAATGCACGTGAGAGAAGGGAAGTGGAATAATTGGAAATTGCTTGTAATGAAAGTTGCCTTCATTTATGGAGGGTAAACTGAAAGAGGGAGAAGCAAATTTCCTGGGCACATTTCCTTTCTGCGTGTGAATGGATGGGATGATTCACTGTGGAATACTCATCTTTAGCTGGCTCCCTCCATAGTGGATGCCTCTTTCCTGTTTTGATTTACTGGGGAAATTAGTAATAATCAGAAAACCATAATTAGCATTTACATATCCACCTCTTAGGTGAAGACTTAGTTCCTTAGGAGAAACCATAGTCAGAAAATAGCCTGAAGCTTGATTTTTCATTTTTACCTATCAGTTTTTAGTTAATTTTGGTTTACTTTTTATTTTGCTTAAGTTAAGTAGTGCTCATTCATATCAACTTAAGCATTCAGTCATTTGTGGTTTCACTGCAAAGAAGATTGTTTTTACTTTAGTGTGATAAGAGTTTTTCCCAGTCTGTAATTATATATATGCATATGCACACATATACATATATACATACATACATATATATTCAGTTCCAAAAGCCTTGTTTGTTAAATATTTACTAGACTCCAGCAAATATTTGTTCTGAAGACAAACCTTTGCCTGAATAGGCATTTCTTAAACCCTAATACAAAGGCTAATTAAGTGCATGGGAAAATGCTCAGTGTCACCAGCTGTCAGGGAAATTCAATTTAAAGCCAGTTAGAATGATTGTTGTAAAAGGAGAAAGCAATAGTCAATGCAGGAGAGTTGCACCTGTGGGATGTTCATTTGGTGCAATTGTTAGGGAAAAGACCCAGAGACAGATATTGGGGTTCAAACTTCAAGCTGAAGATCAGAAAAGCAAAGCAGTTGGACACTAGCTCTTACTCCACCTTAGACTGGAAGGTGATCGATCCTGGCTCCACCAAACCTCAGACTGAAATCCCAGATGACTACACTCTCTTCGACATGGCTAGAGAATCCTCAGACTGAATGTATTCCTATGCTCAATGTGGCTGGAAAATGAATGCCAGCTCTGAGTCCCTGTTCCTGTCATATATACCTCTCATGAGCTCTGATTCTCTCTGGCAGCCCAAGGTGGTCCTGGACTCGGATCCATTTCCCTCTCTCCTGAGTATTTGCATTAAAGGTGTGTGCTTGGCTTCTATGGCTAACTAGTATGGGCTGCTTTGCTATTTTGATCTCCAGTGGCTTTAATGAGTCATAAACAATATGTCATGTCATACCACACCATTTTCCTTAATAAGAAAAAGAGTTGAAGAGAGCAAAGGATTACCAGCCTACAGTCCACACCACAGGAAAAGCTAGGAAATGAGGACCCCAAGATAGACATGCATGGTCCCCTGGAGAAGGGGAAAGGAACAAGATCTCCAAAGCAAATTAGGAGCATGGGAGGAGGGGAGAGGTAGGAAGAGGAGAGGAGGACATGAGGGAGCAAGATTGAGTCAGGGAAAGAATAGAGACGAACAAGAAAAGAGATACATAATAGAGGGAGCCATTATTGGTTTTAAGAGAAATCTGGCACTAGGGAAATGTTCAGAGATCTACAAGGATGACCCCCAACTAACAATCTAAGCCATAGTGGAGAGGCTACCTTTTTTTTTTTTTTTTGATGGCTAAATATCTTTTTTATTTTTAATGAGAAATATAGTAACAGGCCATTTGCCACTCATTCTGTGCAGAAATTCTGTCAGTGAATGCGTAATTTATCTTATCCTAAGAATGAAGCTTGTATCACCTTCTCACATTTCCAGAACTATAATTTGATGCACAGAAAAAGTTTGTCAAGAACAGAAATTTGAATTACTCTGAAACTCAGTGGAAACGTATGGTGGCCTGTTAGGATAAAAACATTTTCCTGCCTTAGAAAGTTGGCAATTTTGGTACGATTATTCTTGTTTCTTAAATAATTACATCAAAATATTTAGATGTTGTATATGTATGAGGCAACAAATAAAAGAAACATTTATTTCAGGTTTGGAAGTGTCATTGTTCCTTTCAAATCTCTGCCTTTGTATACACAACATGAGAGTTGCTGAAATCCATCAAGTTTATCAAAAATTCACATGGTTTATACTGTGTATTAGCTTTTCTTTTTAATACAAATAAAATTTATCAATAAAATCCTATCCTCCCAGAAGTTTAAAATTTTTTTTGCATTTTTTTTATTTTATTTAATTTTATATAACAAAGTCCAATTAAATGAAAACAAACATTTATACACAATATTTGGGAATTTGGGCGTCGTTCTTTCCAAACTACTTCCTGCTGGTAAGGGGCGCTGTCTTGGGGGGATTCGAAGAAGATTCAGATATCCTGGCTGTAGTCTGTAGGGCTGTTTTGTCCAGCTGTTTTGAATGTAGGATCAGCTTGTACTCTGTTTCAGGCAGTCTGGCGTGATCAAACCAC